TCTCAGTTATTATGAAAACCGATTGAAAGATCACAAAAATGATCTCCCTAAATCATGATGATAAAATTTCTTTTCAGAAAATAAGTTACACTTGATATATGGGAGCAAGATTTCCGGTAGAAAAGTTTGTACAACAAATCGAGGGGTATTTTTCGATTATAATCGTCCGAGCGAGCGATAGGTTTTGACTTAGAGACCTCGGTACACTTAAAATTCATTTGTTTTTTTCTATTTAGATAAATGGGGGAAAAAAGTGCAAATAATTAATTTATTTTTAAACCCTAAGTTCAAACTCATGATTCCTAGTATGACAATACGTATATATGGCGTATATATTCGACAACACTACACGTATAATAAAACAAACAATATAAAGTTATTTGACATAAACATATAATATCTGCATAATAATTGAACTTCAAAAGGCTATAATTTCGAAACTTATTCAGTTCGCTCCATTTTAACTTTACCATCCTTCTTAATTCAGCAATACACTCATAATCGAAAAAAAAAATTGAAAAATTAGATTTGTTCCACACAATATTTTACTCAAACAATTTTCGTCAAAATAAAGTATCAAAATTCCTTTTTAAAAACAAATACTACGTTAAACTCAATTATTTTTTTTTACTACAAAGTAAGTTTTAATGAACCTCCTGTTACATTTTCAAGAATTTCTGTTAAGTCTGACAATTTTACCGCAGAGTACCTACCAAATAAAAATTATGTACAAAACTCGCAAAATTAAAATGTCTATAAATAGCTCAAAAATTGCTTAAATTTTTTGAAAATTTTACCATGCTAGAATAAGGTAAATATAAGTTTTTGTCTGAATTTCAAGTCTCTAAGAATATTTTTAACCGAATTACAATAAATAACAAAATTGATAAAATAATAAAAGTATTATTTTTTTACATTTCCCTTTTTTTTTTTTACGTTTTATCCTGGATTTTCCTAGATATTATGAAACCTGCTTGGAAATTCAAAAAATGACTTCCCAAAAGTATCATCTGGGCAACATTTTCTTTTGAAATGGTGCCACGCGTATATATCTGAGCAAGATTTATGATCGAATTTTTTGTATATAGGAAAAAGAAAAAGAAAAAGAAAAAGAAACATATTAGTAATACCAATATATTCTTCGCTACACTCAGAATCTAAAATGAGAAGTTAATCGCGAATTATAAATTATTAGAATCAAAGTTGATAGCTCAAAATACCATTAGAATTAACCGCAACAGTTCACGGATATCAGATAAGAATAGAGATATTGATTTAATATGTAAAAAAGACGTCCTAGGAATTAGGATAATGGGGATGGGTGCGGCCACAGTTTTGGTAATTTAATGTATATCTGTTATCAACGATTAGCCATTGCTAACGAAAAAACGATTTTGAGCGAGTTCAGTTGATAGTGTAGTTACTTTGTCAACAATGTTATGCCATATCATGGTAAAATAATTACATAAGTAATATATATTTTCTTTAAACACGTTTGTTCAATATTGTACCTATTTTCCAGTTAAAATAGTAAGAAAATCAAAAAATGACCTCTTTAAAGTACCTTCCTAGTTAAATTTCCTTTTTTAGAAACTTTGTTATCATTATATATTGGAACAAAATTGTTGGTGGAAAAATATCATAATATTTTACTATTATATTTCGTATATTTTCCCATTTTTTCTCCGTTTTTCACATTTGATGAGAATACTCTGAAGAAAATCGAAAAATGACCTCCCCAAATCACCTCTCCACATAGATTTTCTTTCAGAAAAGTTGCTACACTTAAAAACTGGAGCTAGATCTTTGGTAAAAAAGTTGCCCACAGAAAAATAAACCATAATAATATTAATAAACATCTTTGTATCTTTGTAAAACCATAAGCTTCTTCACTTCATACAGTATTAATGATGAATAGATATAATTTAATTTGAATTTTGAATGTAAGTATTGACCATTGTAGAGAAAATATGTCATTCTCAGTGGTGTTTCGCAGTTTTAACGATATTAAATTAAATTCGTTTTAAAAAAATTTAAAGTTTAAACCGACCAAAAAAAAAAAAAAAACTAATATATAAATAATAATACTGTATTTTGTGTTATATTTTTTTCTCTAAATTTTGGAGTTGATGTAGTAAAAAGTAAAATAAAAAGATTTTTATTTTATTTTTATCACTAAATCATGACTCAAATAGATTCAAAGTTGCATAACATGTACAATGCTGCAACAACAGTTTACGTGGTGTCAGTGTGCAGTAGTTATATTGAGTCCCATCCAGTCAGTGTCACATTTGAATTTTTTGCCTTCGGGGCAATGGATTGATGAGCAAAGAAAAAAAAACTGATACTGCTGATGCGTCGTGTTGTTGTAGTTGGGAATTCGGGAAGGTAGGATAAATTGAGTAAAGTGTTTAATTTATATCAGTAAGTAACGATAAATCATTACTAACAAAATATTCTGAGTGAAGTTCAGTTATACTTTTATGTTTTGAAATACCGTAATTTTTACAATTTTCTTCAAAATTTGTTCCTAAAATTCATTGAAAAAAAAACTATAGAAAATCCAAAATTATCCCTTTAATGCACCAACTAGATTCCAAATACAACAACAATTGGAGCAAGATTTCTGGTATAAAAGTTGTTTACAGACAAAAAAAAACACATACCATAGTAAAATCAATTGATCTCTCGTTACTCTCAAAATATAAAAAAAATACACATATAGTAAAACAAATACATTCCTAGCTATGCTCATAATTTATTTAACCTCCTCCCCCCTCCAAAAAAAAATAGGCTCAGGACCCGTGTATGTTATATACGACATTTATAAATTACTAACTTAATGAATATTCGCTGTTAAGGAGTGATAATTTTAGAGATGTGTGTGTGTGTGTGTGTGTAGTGTATAAACGAAGATATGATGATTGATAAGAGAGGGAGGGAATTTTGGTGTTCAAGAATAAGTGTAACTGATCCTATTTGCGGTCAGATATAGGCTAAAAAAGAATAGCAGTTTTTCTTTTAGGGTGTAGGTGAAAAAACTTAAAATATCATCAACTGTAATAATATCGTGACGTTTTTGTGATATTATTGTGAATTTTTATTCGAATAAGAATGGTGGAAGCCATTGTACGAATCTATTTACCACTCCTCCCCCATCTGGTAAGAATGCTCATTCTTATATACACTGCAAAAGGCACACGGCCGTTGAATTATTCGCGTGGAAATGAATTACATCGAGCTCGCGTACCTGCCTTAGGTAAGTATAGGTGTATACAAAAGTTGTAAAACGTTTTAAATTATTAACAATCCCGAGCAGTCGTATAATTGTTTTGTAAATGCGAATAAATTATAAAACAAACATAAAAGGTATATCGCATATCTACCTAAGGGTATTGTACCGGAAATATATAAACTGGCCTCTTATATAATATAGGTTACCCTAGAGGGTTTGTATTACCAGAGATAATAATTTTAAACGACGAAGGTTCTAAATCGACCTGCACAACAATAATCATAATACATAGTACTTACCTTTGTGTTGTTGAAATGTCGACAGTTTTTATTATTATTCGCGTCTCTTTGAGTGTTTCATTAAGCCTGCTGATGATAGTTACTATATATCGTGATAGTTTTGTTGCAATTATCACGATAGTAGTATAACTACTATCACAGAGACAAGTAGGCAGCGTCCATATGATGATATACAGTTGAGTGAGACGCGTAACCAGGATTTTGAGTTAGAGTGGCTGATTTTTGTTTGAATCATGGGCATAGTAAGAGGGGTTTTGGGAGTTCAACTTTCACAAAAAAAAAAAGACGTCCTAGGATAATGGTGACGTTCACAGCTACTGTTATAAGCAATATATATATATGGTATGTATACCTGTAAGCAACGATAATCCATTGCTAACGAAAAAACGGAGTTCAGATGATAGCGACGCTTTGTCAACAATATATGTGCCATATTATAGTAAAATAATTAAATAGACTCTATAGTAATACTAAACTTTCTATAGTAATATTTGTTTGATGTTGTATTGATTTCCCCGATTCTCCTACGTTTGTCCAGGTTTTCCTATGTTTTTTCAGTTTTTCACATTTACTGAGAAAATTCCTAAGAAAATTTAAATAACCTCCACAGTAAAAATTATTTTTAGAAAAATGACTATCATTTAAAGTTGAAGTAAAATTTCTGGTAGAAAAGTTAAAAACAGGAAAAAAAGCCATAATATGTTTAGCTATAATACCTATATTTCTTACATTTACCCGGTTTTTTTTTCCTGTTTTTCGCATTTAATAAAAAAAATATTGAGAAAATCGAAAATTGATCTCTTTAAGGTATCTCTCCACATCGATTTCCTTTCAGAACTGTTGATACACGTAAAAATCGGAGCAAGTCTTCTGGTAGAAAAATTTTCCACAGAAAAAAAAAATAAACATCTTTGTAAAACTATAAGCTCCTTTGCTCCATTCAGAATCTAAAATCATGGTGCATTTTATACCATTAATTAAGTTTTTTCATTAGACGGAAGAGGGATGGACCAAATTTAAGATTTTGCGGGGAAAATATATCTGTTACAAAATCGTTATTTTCTTTCCTTTTGCAGCCTTGCAAATGAACTGCAACACTATAAACAACAATAATAAACAGCACTCAACATCGCATGCAATTTTGTACCAGAGTTTCGTCAGCAATACCATTTTATTGTAACGGTAGTCGCGTTAATTTATTTTCGCCAAAGTAAATCTATAGAATATGACATATACGCTGCACCGATTCATTCCGGATGTTAAATAATTCAAACTATAACAATTCAATGTACGCAGGTACGTACGTATATGTATAAAATACATATTGCGTCCTGAAGTGCATAAATTATCATACGAGTACAACTCAGTAAACACATACATTATACATTATACAATATATATGGTATTATTATCAGTATATATTATTATCTTTCGTAGTCGGATATAATATAATAATAGGTAGGCACCTACCTCCGGGACGTGCCGCATTTTTTTACATCTCTGTTACACAGCGAATACGATTGTTCGTATCCCTCGATATGCTGCGCCAACAATTTCGGAAACAAAATATGTTTCTCGTATCTGAAATGAAAACACATTTTTATTTATTAAATGCTGATACACAGTATCGGTGCAAAGATTTTTCCCTCAAATCACCAGTTTCATTTTTCACCCGTTCAACTACCGAATATAACCCCTACCACACCATGTCTGTTAACTATAAATCAGAGATCATCTAGGTACTATAGTTTTCACGGGGGTCCATTATGAATCTTATCGAACTTTCCGCAGTCACAATACACTTTTAATAATTTTTTTTTAACTATATGCAAAAACAATGGCATACCTAGAAAACTCACACTTAATGACTATATATTTTGACAAAATATTATTTTTGTAATAATATAATACTTTACCCGATTTCTTTATTATCAAAAGTGTGATGGTTCATATTTTTACGATGCGATTTTCTTTTAATGTTAGTAAAAATAAAAATCGATTTTATCGATTCGTGCTTCTCTATACTGATATATAACTCGAGTTTTGAAGAAATCGAACGATACTAATAATTATTGAAATTATTTGTGCTTTTTTTTTTTTATCCAATTGCGAAATATTATACGTTTTGAGATGCGGTAAAAGTTCTTCTAAAGATCCGGTTGGAAGTTTTAATATGTATAGGAATCCAATATTTTATTTAAATCCACACATCGTATAATTTAGGTTAAACGGAGTACAATAAAAAAATGAAAAGAAAAACAAATTTGTGTATCAAAACGTTAGTGATAAATATGGAATTTATTTTCCGATCCATTGTCGCAAAAAAAGGTTGGGCTTGGAGTGGTTTAGTCCTCTTAAATCAAGGTGTTTTTAAGTAAATACTAAGTAATAATAAGTATGTATTATCGATACTATGTAGGCTTAAGCCCCTTTCCCAAATATTTGGGCATATCTTTCGATATATTTTAAAATCTTCTCAAATTTCCAATAGATAATTGTATTTTTGAAGCATAATAAATATAAAACTATGCCATACTGTAAATAGAAACAAAGTTTTCGTTTTTTTATTACGATTTTATCAAACATTGCGTTTTAATAATAATATTATTAAAAGATTTAATGCAGTCCTAATTCAATTTAATATTTGACGTTTATTAGGAAGACTCTTCTCTGCGGTGGACGTTTCAGAGTGTACTCATCGGAATCATTTCATTAGTAATAAATAATAATAATAATAATAATGTTGGATTATTTTTTTAAAGACTTTATTGACGGTAGACACAGCGTATGCAATGCAATCAACGTCGTAATTTCACTGCACAGGAGAAGTCTTAGCAAATATTTGTACCCAGAATGCCCGTGTCGTTGTCGTCGTAATTGTAGTCACAAATATTAATTTATTATGTCAAGTTTAATTCGCGCCGAATATTTATTCGAAATTTGATCAGCAGCATTTCGTATTATTCGAACCGTTCGTTCGTACGATATAATAATAATTGATTAAATTTCTGTATTCTGCATTATAACGAACGCGTATAGCGAGAATTGAAAACATCCGACCTTTTTCTCTCCATCTCGTTTTGAATTGTACGTAGTGTAATGGCATATTATTTAATGCACGGCCTTCTTATTGACAACGCGAATAATGAATCACCAAATAGTTTGGATGAAGGCGAAGGAAAAGAAGAAATAGAGAATCTCTGGTTTCCGAAAAGTCACAAATCGAACGGTATCCACAAGCAGAATATAATTATATATAGGTCATACTATAACCTACTTAAATTATACATTTATATAGATATATTATGTTACCAGCCGTCTGTCATTGCTTTATCTGTGTTAGTATTGAACGAAAATAAAAATGGAAAAATAAAATGTGCTTCCTCGTGACTTTGTTTCCAACCCCGTTCCTGTCTCTGCAGTCAACTGTTAACGGTAAATGTATAAAAATGATTTTTTATCATTTTCTTTTCATTCTTTAGGGCTGAACTTTGAATAAATCGTTTCTTAACGGGTACCTCCCAAGCGCCCCATTATTTATGCCTATGCTATAACTTCTCCCTCGGGTTTCAAAGAATATGCATGTAAAATTTGGTGCCGATCGAATCGGTAGTTTTCGAGTCTATAGATCACAAACGAAAGAACATTCATATTTATATAGTAGAAAATGTATCAAACATATAAATATAATGCAATTTTCTTTACTTGAACTTTTCGTTTATTTACTCAATTACATTAAACAATTGTAAAACAAATATTAAATTATAATGAGAATCGGGGTATTGAATTGTTTAATATTTTAAACTCCTTGATGATCTCATTAGTGTTTACTGCATATGATGTCTCTTATTTAACAAATAACAGTACTAGAGAACCCAATCTTGTTTCGGTCATTGTTGTTTGAAGTTAACTTTTAACAACAGTCAGATTCAAGAAACGACGTTCACAACAGCAACACGTAACAGGAATTGTGACAACAATCTGTATACTTTAAGGAAAGGTTTGAAAAAGTAGCGATTCTGCGCATCAGAATTTTGTAGTCTGATCGTTCATTAATTGATTGAACTGAACTATCAATTGGATTATCTGGTATATTTTTTAATAATTTTGTTGTTTTAAAAACATTTATACGAAATATTTTCATCTGTATTCAATTTCACCATATTTCCAATCTACAAAGTGTTCCCCTTCATAATGTCACGCGACAACGCTTACGGACAATAGAGACATTCGACAAAACACTATTATCCTAATCCGACAAAATGCCACTCGATAAAAACCATTGTGTTAGGGAGAAATTCACAAGATGACGTACCTCTTGTATATAAGAGGTTGCGTATAAGCAAATTTCCTCGACATTTTTGGAAAAATAAAACAACACAATAATATTTAAATTCACGATAAAATATATTTACAAGAAGTAGTCTCGTGATTATACATATTTGTTGTGTGATCGTGATATTAATAAAAATGTTTACGGAGAAACTGTTTTGTGCCGGCAAAAGTTACTCGAACTACATAATGTATATGTTACGGGCAATGTGAACAAAGTTTTATTGAATTTTATCATATAATAATGTACAATAAACAAGACAATTTCTGAAACACGCTGTATAAACTAACTTTTATTATCGTACTGTCTATTTAAGAACCACAGTTTTCCTTTATAGATATGGTCATATCGAAATGATAAAAGTAATAACTGATAAAATCACTCAACAATGTATGAACAATATTTGATATTTTTGACTATCTTACCTGTCCTAAGCCAGTCGAGTTGTTGTACTGTACACGACACTATACTTCGTTACTCTGTACGTGTTTTAAAAATGGAATCTAAATTTTACGAATATTTGAACAAAGTTATCGAAACAAAAAAAAAACTAACAGTAATTTTATTAGTAAATTTAAATATTATGTGATAATTAATTGTTTAAAACAACTGAAGCTAGAGAAGAAAATAAATTCAAAATTATTAAGGAAATATGACATGGTGATAGTACTAAGAGACGAATTATGCCAATAACTACAGAAGGTAATTGTGTAAAATTATATGCTTATAATGAAGAGTTATTTAACATTTTACATGAAATACATTTATCTTTAGTGTTACTGAATGGTGTTCTTCCACAAAAAATTTCCCCTGCTGTAGATTAATTTAATATATATTTTTATTGTCCCAAAAAGGTACAGATTACATGGGTGTTTCCAAACCTTGACTATGGAAGGGGAGGGGGCGAAATAATTAAATTTAATATTAATGATTGATAAGAAAAAAAGACAGACATACTTCGAACGATGGATAAATGACTGTTGTCGATGAGAAGTTGGGAGAAATTTAGAAAGTAGAATAGAGAGAGAAATTTAATCTATATCTGTAATCAAAAATTAATCAATACTAACGAAAAATGATTCTGAACGGAGCTTAGTTAACAGTATTGCTTTTTCAATTATATAAATAAATGGCATACTTCAGAAAATAAATATTATGTTTAAACAATTTATGTGGATTAGTTACTAGATTTGTTCCACATAATTTTTTACTAAAATCATTTTCATCAAAATTTGATATTAAAGTTCTTATAAAATAAAAATATACTACAATAAATAAATTTTTTTTTTTGTTTTGACCGTAAAGTATGACTTATAATTAACCTCCTGTTTAATTTTTAAGCATTTCTATTTTGTCTAAAAATTTTATCCACAGGGTACCTACAAAATAAAAATTACTCACAAAATTAAAGTGTCTATAAATAGCTTAAATATGGCTCAAATATTTTTACAGTTTCACCATGTAAAAATAGGCACATATAAATTTTCTATCTGAATTTCAGGTCTTAACAAATATTTGTAACTTTGAATTATAAAAAATAACACAATTATAAATAAAAAAATCATTATTTTCGTAAATTTTCCGTTTTTCTTACGTTTTCTCTCAGATTTTCCAAGATATTATGCAAACCGCCTAGAAAATCAAAAAATGATCTCCTAAAGTACCATCTAGAAAATATTTCTTTCCAGAAATGCTGTCACATGTACAAATTGGAGCAAGATTTCTGGTAAACATTTTTGTCACAGTATAAAAAAATAAAAATAAACATCTTTGTATAACCAATACAATACAAAGTATTCGTCGGTACTCTCAGAATCTAAAATAGTAAAAAATGATGTCAAATATTGATTATATCTATTATATTATCTACTTTTGGACCAATGACTATGCCAAATACCAATGTAAGTCCAATTCTTTGGGTTGATTGCCCCCCCCCCCCTCAGGACGTTTCTGACAGATTGTATATATACATATATATTTTTTAAATAAAAATAATTGTTTTTAAAATAAATCTTAAGTGATTTTAACAATTGAAAAAAAAAATATCAAATTCAATTGAAATCCTCTAAAAACGTCGGTCCCGAGCGGAAATTAAATTTGTGATTGTAATAAACAAATATTGCAATTCAACGGTAAAATGAATAGTATTAATATCGTTATATTATCGTTTTATTTCTTTGGTAATGGAGGTATCGATGAAAAAAAATTATGTTACCTTATCGTTTCGAATATTTCGATACTTTTTAATTTTGATACTTCCCTCACGTTGTGGGGCCGCACGATTTTATTATACGCAGAATATTTCGTTTAATATGATATCTCTTCAAAAGCACGATACTAATAATATCGCGTACAAAATATTATTTGTTAACCCGGAATTATTATAGTATAATATTCGCGTATCGAGTAATGCAGTTTTTAAGGAAGTCATGCGATACCTACATCATTAAAATTTAAAACGTAGTTCACTTAGATTTCACGATACCGCCGCGCGGTTTAGACTATTGCGCGCATTGTTATATTAGACATATTCGCACGAGTAAGTTTTAATATAATAATAATTGTGCCATGGAATATAAAACGATGACCTATATATACATTTTTTATAATTACACTCGACTCGCAGAGTAAACAAAAAAAAATTCGATTCTTATTCAATCATCGAATTGTGTACGGTTACTACGGTTTTGGATTCGCCTCGAGAACGAGCGTATTATACACATTTTAAAGTGAATATTAAAATTACACAGAGAAAGTTAAGTCGTCTAGACATTGTAAAATGTGTAGTCCGATACTCGAAATGGTGCATGTCTACTAATTTATTACGATCCGAAAACAACGTGAGAATTTCGGATTCTTATTGAATAATTAATTAATCAAGAATTAATTTGTTTTTGCTACACAATATGGTTTAAAAGAAAATAAATCTATAGCCTCATAGGATGAATCGATTTTGAAAATATATATTTTATTTTTTACAGGGCACATTGCAGTGGCGTAGTCATCGGCCCGGGCCTATACACTTTTATTCGAAAATTAACACAATTTTAAAATCAAAAACTTGTGTTAATTTTCATTCCTATTCAAATATGTATATTATTTTAACTGGCCTACCCAGAAAAATATTTTTAGCTACGTCTCTGGCGCATTGGGCTTGGATTTTGAAAATAATATTTCTGAACGATGTATATAACCACTTATGTAATTTGAATATGACCAATTTTCACAATTTTTTTTTAACCCACTTTCGATTTTGGTATTACATAACCAAAAACTGAAATCCAATGAAACCTGTAGGTAGGTTTCCTTTTTCCAACAGAGAACCAAGTATGATCGAAATCAGATCATTCTACGAATTATTCGAATTCTCCACGTGAAGTTTTACGTACAGGGCCTTTGACATAAAAATCGAAATTGATCGAAGTGTTTGTTAAGAAATCGTTAATACTCGTTAGTTGTGAATGTTAACAGTTCGTAAAGCATCATGAGTAAAAAAGTCCTTAAATTGTCAAAATTGCATCGTTATTGCAATCATTTTTTGGATAAGTTGTGCTTGATGGCTGATACCTTAATTTAATTCGTATACTTGAATAAATACTTACAGAATTATAAAAGTATTCAAAGATGGTAAATGCTTTTATCTATAATATTTTATCGTTTATAGTTAAAATATTGTAATAATTATAAAGAAAAATGCTTGACCTGTACACGTCGTCGTACGCATTTCCATATGTAAACACACCGTGTAGAGACGAATGGGCGTGTATGTCGATTACTAAATCGAGTTCCATGTTCTGTAAATAAATTATTACATTATTTTCTGTGATTAACTAATTAGGTTTGTGTCAGAAACTTAATCGATTCTAGTATTAATTCGTGCAACCACGGAAGAAACAGTAATAACTTGATTATACTATGAAAATGTGACGTCAGCTGCCAACGATTTTATTTAATACTTTTGACAGGAGTCTGGAATATACTAAAATAGTATTGAATCCACATTATTGTGTGTTTGTGATAAGCAATTATTTAACACCGCAGATAACAAATCCGTGGCGAATAACGTTGGCATGATGCATATCACTGAGTTGCTGATATACCTAATTAGTTAATCATGGTATTTTCATTTTAATAATATTTTGGGCACATGTTAACAGAGCAGTTCAAACGACTATTTGATTTTGTCTAAAATTAATTATTTGAAAAAAAAATAAGATTTCAGTTGTTTAGATGATTTTAAATATTATAATGGTGACCAAGGGAAATCAGAAAAAAACTTTAAAATTTAAAATTACAAAAAAAAAAAAAATACTTGATAAACGTTCATAAGGTAAATTTGATCCATTGTATCGATACTAAATCTGTCTGTACTTTATAATGTCACAAATTCAAAAATGACAAAATACGAATATTGTGTTTTACCTCGTTTTCTTCGATTTTTTTTAAGTGGTTGTAAACGGCGTATAATATCGGATGGACCCACTGCGATATTTTATGCCAAGCTCTGTTTAGATCGATACCCAATAAATTGGTCCTGTAACAATATCGCGGTGGTTTTATGTTCAACGTAAAATCCAAAGAAAGGAATCCTTAGGCAGCTCGAGGCAGCCATAGTAGGTTTATAAAATGTCATGATTTGGGGTAGGGGAGGGAGGAATTAAATACAGCATTTTATACAGGTAATTTTTATATTATTGAGTTTAAGGAGATTGTTGACGATGTATAGTTTAGTACAGTGTTTCTTAAACTGTGTTCCACGGAACCCTAGTATTCCGTGAATAACTAGCAGGGGTTCCGAGAAGGTTTGGAAAAAGTTAATTAAAATTCTACAACTATTTATTAACAATAATAATAATAATAAAAAACAAAATTTAGCAATAACCTGCCACGCATGTACTGCAGTCAGCTGTACGATACAGTGAGTTTAGCCATTTTTAGTAAGTAATAATGATTTTCCTTCGAAAATTTCCCGAATATTTTTCCCATTGCCCCGTCATGTGTGCAAGTATAAAAATTTATTCAATTTATAATAATAATATTACCATCGATATGAATATATAAGTAAACAAAACAAGAAGGATTTTTTTTAAAATAAAGTATTATATTTTTATATTTTTCGGGTTTTACTTAAAAAAAAAAATATTGTTAGGTTTTCCGTAATCTCAAAAAATTTAAGAAACACTGGTTTAAACTATTTAAGCCTAAAGACCAAACAAAAACGTAGGAATTTTGAGTGACGGATTTCAATTTTGAAAATGGATTAAAATTCTTTAGGTTATTTAAAAAGATATTTAGGAAGTAAACATTTAATTATTCTACTACGAATAGTAAAAAAAAAAATTAAAATATTATTACATTTTTGAAAACTTTATGGAAATCTACTTAAAGTATTTTGTTTTTAATTTATGGTTAAGATAATTAAAATAAAAATAAATAATTCCACTTTAGCCTAGTAAAGAACCTAAAGAATCAACATAACAATTTCAGGAGCACGTTTAGGACATCTTTAGATAACACTGGCGTTCCAACACCATGTACAGCTTACTCCAGCTAGAAATCTACACACAAATGTATTTAATAATGACACGTTCTATAGTAAATTCAACACCAGATTTTTATGAGTGTATGTTTTTATACTTTGTTTTTTTTTTGTTATTACACATAATTCCTAAAATTTTGTCCGGCTCTTCAGGTTAAAATTTATATTTATTTGAAAAACGGGTGTACTTCTTCCCCTTAAATTGGTATCGGATATGTGGCCATTAAAATGTATAAACAAATTTTCGTATTTTACTAAATTTTGAAAACCGTCACCAATTTTCTAATGTTATAAATAATTAGTTTTTTGTCATCACACTAAAAGAGCTGCGTTATTATTTAATTGACATATTATATATTAATTATAACAATTACCTTGTATTCCCTAAAGTGACACCGTCGGGGTTCATCATCGGTATCAATTGGAATATGATTTTTTTCCGAAGCCGTATTACGGCTGGATGGTTGCTAATTAAAAATTCTATGATTCCTGAAAAATAATAACTTATTGTTATTCAAATTTTTCATAGTCGCACTCATAATATATTTTCGCTTTTTTACCTTGACAAACATAAGAACTCGGCGTTTCTGATCCGTGCATTCTACCCAATATTACAACGACGTGCACTTTTTCACTCGGCGTCATATTTTTCGGATTAGTTATAGTGATCAAGTCTAATCTTCTATTTTGCTTGAGCCGTAAAAAAAAAAAAATTTAAACAAAATAATTTATTTTTTCAATAAATCTGAAAAGTCAGAGTAATGTTCAAAGAAACAGTAGCTATAGGTAATAGTGTTCTTAACGGGACGACGATGACGATGACAACGAAAAGAATATTATAATACTCACAAATTTCAATCGTAATAATGTAAAATGTAACTCGTCAAGTAAAAGAAGAAAATGTATGCCTGAAGTTTCTTTTTATTATAATATGAACTTAGATTGTAATTTTTCTTTTATGCAAGTACAATTTTCAATCAGAGTTTTTTGACGTATTTAGAGGATTTTTTTTCATTATAGTATCTTTCCTATCGAGGATTTATATACAATTTTATAGACTGTTTATGTTTGACAAGATTTCAGTTCGATAGTCAAATCTATTTCAATCTATCATTAGGAGCCTAAACCAATAATATATTTCTTGTTTTTAGGCCCTAAAACTCACTAAAATCGGTAAAATTAATACCGAGTTTATATGAAACGGCTCTCAATATGCATACGAATATATTTGTAAACTATTCGCAACTAAAGAATCAGAATCTAAAATTCCCACGAACAAGGGAACTCTGACCTTCCCTTTCGAAATTTTAAAAACACATCATAATTCTTTTTTTCAAAATGCCCAATTTTAGATTCTGAGTGTAGTGAAAAATGTATTGGTTTTACATAGGTGTTTATTTTTTTTTATATATTGTGTAAAAATTCTACATGACATATATAGTGTTGTCAAAGCATTACTATTAACTGAACTGCGCTTAGAATCGTTTTTTCGTTAGCACTGGTTTATCGTTGCTTACAGATATATATTAAATTACCTATACCAGTGGCCGCACCCGTCTCCAATATCGTAGAACGTCTTTTTTGTTTTTAAATTTATTTATGACTACAGTTTTCCATAAAAATATCCGTACGAATAAACCTGTTTATAATTTTATTAGTGCAATACATTGTACTAGATTGATTACCTTTATTTTTTTTAACGATCATGAATGTGTAATACTTATATAAAATATATATGTAGAAATTTTGTTTTTGATCATTAAACTCGACCCTGCTGGTAAATCATGACAATTAGCACAATATAAATCGATATATTTTTCATACATTTTTTAGATGATATAATAATATGAAAGTGTCGAATCACAAAGATAATGTTTTAAATAATTATTCGAATTGTGCGTACAAGTTGCTCGGTAAATTCTTAATAAAAGATAAATTATCAGAAAAATGACAAATATTTACGAAACACCGCAGTGTTATACCGATTTCATTGTATTTAATTTTTGTAAACGATGTCCTCTACCGGGAATATTAATTTAATCACAAGATACCACGTGACTTCGGAAAATTTCCTTGGAAAATAGATTTACAGTTAAATACTTTGGAAAATGTAAAAATATAATATATTAATAATAACAACTACTAATATATTATAAACTCCCATTGATGTGTACAATACGAGTATATTAAATATATAATTGTTATAATATGTTATTATGAACATTATTTTTATATGATCAAATATTAATAATCACATCTTAAAGATTATATGGTTTTAATTTCAAATAAAAATAACAATTATTGAGTGAATTATAGCCCCTTAAACTTTTGCTTCCCCGTTCTGTTTCAGGTTCCATTACTAAAATTTGATAAATTTATTATACTTATTAGTTATTATGAGGACCAGAAGTTTATGCATTTGCATAATTTTCGGAACAATTGCTAAATAAGCTATACACATTTGAATCACACCATAACAAATTTAAAAAAAAGAGAGGTGATTCTGAGAACGATTATACCACTAGTTGTAGGTGGGAAGTTGGGAAGGTAAGTTCATAAAGTTATTTTATTTATATCTGTAAACAATAATAAACCACTGTTAATGAAAAAAATTCTATAATTCTATTAGTGGTTATTTTCTAGTAGAAATCAAAAAGAAACTAAATTTAAAATAATAAAATTGTTCTCCTTAAGTTTGTCAGTTTTCATTTTACGTTTTTTTCCGGTTTTAATAATTGTATAGAAAACTATTGAGAAAATTAAAAAAAAAAAACTTTCTTCATAAGTATCAAGATTCAAAATACAACAAATGTTGCGTGTTAATTTTTGATAAAAGTAATATTTCTTGTAGCGAACATAGTTTACAAAAATTAAATACAATGAAATCGGTATAATGCTGCAGTAAAGCGTAAATATTTGCCATTTTTTTCCGGTTTTTCTCAATAATTATGAAAATCCCTAGGAAAATTAAAAAATTACTACCCCAATTCACCAAATAAATAAAATTTACTTTCAGAAAATCTGCTATAAAATCTCTAACGGAAATATCCAGTATAAGTATTGGTATTGTCTGAAATATTTTTCACAATTACGAGTTCCTTCGCTAGAGTTATATGCTACGGGTCTATTACGAAAATATAACTTAATTTTCCTACAGATAATAAATAATATGATAAATCATGATAAGCGGTTTTATTGATGTAGCAATTATATCGATGTCGTAGGCCATATGGAAAATTCGTCTTTTTGCGAAAAGACTAAGTTCTTTGCAATAAGGTAGCCCGTTTGTGAACTACTTATTATTTTTCCAAACAACCTAATGTTTTTCAGGCTTATTGCAAATTAGCAGTTAGGCGTTCAAGAACTACAATAATTGTAAAATAATTGAAATCACTATTTTTCTTATTTTATTTTAAATGTAATTTATTACTTTTTTTTAAAAAAAAGATATCAATAGAATTATTATAACATGTAAACAGTTTAGTATGTACAGTATGCTGACAAAAATGTGTACAATGAAAAGTTATTATCTAATCTACTGATTAGTCATAATCTCGTAGATTCTATTGAGTATCATTTATTGTCTAAATTTTTGTATAAAGTAATATATCCTGCTGCAGGAGATGGCCAGTGACGGCAGCTAAATATTGTTTATGAAATCAAAAAACCGCAGAACCGTACATTCATAGATACAATTAGATCATCAACTTGGGGGGTGCTAAAATTATAGACACATCACAAACCCATGCTTTCAAGAGTCTGTGGCAATGGAATGTCTCAAAAATCCCCTTTACGCAAGACCTATAATAAGCAACTACACATTTCATTTACAATTTTCAATATAAAAATGTATCATAACTTTTTAAATTTTTTTTTTGTGTACACACATTGTAGGTAATCTGTATTTTATCCTACTTATTAATTATTATGAAATACAAGAATAAAATATTTTATTGATCATATAAAAAGTTTAATGGTTATTTTCGGGAGTGCTTATTTTAAACTTAGGGGTACTAAAGACCACCTTGCACCCCCTAATTGAGTCTATGCGTACATTGCATCACGGTTAAATCACCATGCATAATGTAAGCGGAGAGTCGGGAATAGACATCAATGCAGTGGCGCGCGCAAGGGGTTACGATAGGGGCTATATTCTCGCTCCTTTACTTTAAAATACCACAAATACGAGTATTTTGTTTGGTAATTTTATTAAGTCATTATATTATTTTCCGGTTAAGTTGCAAGGAAAGCATCTCGATTAGTTTGAAAAAAATTGGTTTTGTCGGATAGGGCTTTTAAATTCTCATTGTCGGTATAGTTAGGTACAATAAAAGTTGAATCTGTACGGTTTATTCGCGATTATTATTTACTACATCCCCACACTTCAATTGGAAATTCACTCTACTGGATATATTAGTAGGGTCATTTTTATTTATGATTTTTTAAGAGTTAGCAACGATAAGTCATTACAATCGAAACAAAATTCTTAACAGAGCCGGTTCAAAATAGCTGGTTGAAATGAATTAATGTAGGTAAATACCTAGAATTTGAAATGTATACGATTGATATGAATTTTAGTCATAATTTAAATGTTGTAAAGTTGTTTTCTTATTTTATTCAAGAAGTGATATATAATCTCAAATTTACAAAAAAGAAAATGTCGAAATTGAATTATGCCCTTCAGGACCAATATTAAAGATATATTTAGCGTGCGAGTATTTTTTTGCATCTATTCTATTTACAAATCTCGTCGTCAGTTGTTCTATTACTCAAAACAGTGAGCATTTAAAAAAATACTTAGAAAATTATCTGCTATAAGTCTCTAGGTTAAAATTAACTTTTATAATATAATGTCACTTCCGGGATCAAAACCACAAAATTTAAGTATTTAAACTAATATTTCGTTACGGATATTATGTTCAGAGTTTAATGTGTTCGTTTTCCTGCTGTATCGCTGTTTTCACGATATCAAACCAAACCAAATATATCCTTTTAGTTTAATTTTCGCCTTGCAGTTATGTTTGTATATTATTAGCAAAATAAATTATCGTTATTGTGTCTATGGTCAGAATTATTTAAAACTATCTGTCCCGCACAGCGGTGTTGCCCGTGACAAATTAAATGCCCGTGATGAATGTTACGCGTAACACTCACCCTTAACCCATCTATTATTCCCTCTACCTCTCCCTGTTACCCTAATCCACTTTTGACCATAAATAATATCGTATTTACTCGCAAAGTTCTTGGATATTATCTTATTTTGTCAGTGAAAACTGAACAGAACTGTTTAACTAATTTTAATAAAAAGTAGTCTATATAACCTTCTAGTGGCAATAATGAATATGGAACAAAGAGAGTTAGTAAAAATCGGTTTAGTTATAATTCTCGAGATTTTCGTTAAACTACAAACACAAGCATTTCCTATTTACATATAAAATACGAGTAGACACGAGAAATTGAAAAGCGATTATCGAACACGTGCAGTCACGATTCTAGCGTAAAATAAACTGTTTAAATTCAACAATTATTACAATCGATTGTCCCAAGAGTTCACGTTTAAAATACGGCAGCTTTTTTTTCTCGATCAACGATAAATAATTTTGGTAGCGCGTATACGAATACGGGAACGAGTACGAAAACTGATAGCTATCGTCATCCTTGTCGAACGAAAATAGTATGCTCAAAACGTAGTTGTTATTGTGGTAAACTGATCGGTGATAATGCACTCTACTGGCCGGTATGCGGTACCTGAAATTAAAACAAATTTATACATATTAATAAAATATTTTATTGAAAATTATTTACAATTTTTTTTTTCAAAATTCGAACGCTTCAAACGCTTATAAAACGTAGGATTATTAACGTAGAATTTACTTTTTAGATTTTGAACGTAACTAGGAATGTAGGTATTGGTTTACTATGGCGTGAATGTGTTTTTTTTATTGGTTTTTGTATAGGTATATGAAAAAAAAATGACAAAATTACAAGACATGTGCTATTTCACTTTGTATTTATTTGGTGTATTGAGAAGACTATTTTTTTATTTCTCATGCGATTTTTATAATAATGTAATAATATAATTTATAACTGGGTGAAAACGGACAAATATTTACGACATAAAGGTTTCGATATTATTTTAAATGTTTATAATTTTTGTTTTCTACTTGTAGTCTTGCTCCGAATTTCAAGAATAGCTTCTTTTCTGAAAGAAAATTTGGTCTAGTTGACAAATAAGGCATTTTGATATTAATTTACTGTTTAGTAAAGTTGTCCTTATGATTGGTAACATTTGTTACCATATCTTGATGAGTTATCAATAGGTATTTAAAATGTTCGAGTAGTTTTATTTTTATTTTTCTTTAACGTGGATAAAATAGTTTAGCCAAACTGAATTGCTTGAAAATTGAATACGAGGTTGTTCATTATAAGTTCAACATTTTGACGAGAATCGTAAAAATGACGGTATTTCAAAACATATATGACCAAATTTCACTCAGAATCGTTTTTCATAAGCAATGATTTATCATTGCGTACAGATATAAATAAAATAACTGTATGTATACTACCTTTTAACTTCCACCTACAATAGTGGCACACATATCCCCAGAATAAGTAATTTTTAATATAACTAGTTTGCAGAGAATTACTCGTAAATTCATGATGACTAATAATTTGAATACTAGCTAAAAAAAGATTTTATCGACGTAAATTGAAAAAAAAACCAAAAAACTACGAATACCTTTTTTAAAAGATTTGGAATAAAATATTTATTAACTAAAATATCTATAAAAATTTCTAATGAAAATTATCGGTGAAATGACCATTTTTTTTTATTATTATTTCTTATGAATTTATATATCTACCACTTAGATCCAAAAATCAAAATTGATTTTGACTAAGATCATTGAGGCGTTAAAATTTCCGTTTTCTCGGTTCCTCCCTATATTTTTAGGAAAAATAAAATAAATTTCAAATACCGAACACTTCAAAGTACCTACTAAATAGTTGATTTGTTAATGCCCGAGAAAGTTCATTTAAAGATTTTAATTGGATCAAGTTTTATGGGCTTGAAAACTTGTTCGTAGTTACAAAAAAAGCGACAGAGCGCGATAATCCGTGTTCCAGTAATATTGTAAAAATTTTAAAAAAACTGGGTAAAAAAATTGCCTAACTTAAGTGTAAAGTTACAATAACATTATGTTTATTAGCAGGCTAATGACAATTTGCACAAGGAAAACGTCAAAATGACAAGCCAAACCGATAAAAACCGAGCGGGTATATACGACATTTTAACTTTTGCCAAAACGGATAAGGTTGACACTTCTCTGGGACGTTAAAATGCTTGAGGCGCACTGCAATAATGTTATTTCGTCCCTGATCAAAATCGAGTTTTCTATATTGTATTCTTGTATAGGGTTTAAAATAGAAATAAGATTAAAATTTAACACGGTTTAATTTGTATGGACAATAATAATAATAATATTATATGCTAATATAGGACACTATCATTTTGTTGACATTTTAGACCTAATCTGCAAACCGTAGGAGACAAACTATTAAAAGCTAACCGTAGACTTTTCATAATATTAAGTGCTGCGGTGACGGATTGTGGCACAATATATTATCCTGACTTTATTAAAATTATACTCAATGACATATAGGTAGGGAGGGACATACGTATCAAAATCAAAAAATAAATTATGCAATTATTTAGCACGTAGTTAACAAGAATTCGCATGCCAACATGAACCGTTGAACTGTAGTTTTAGGTTTAGGAGTTTAAATATAGATGACAAAATTTAACAAGAAGATTATTTCCGAGAGCATCAAGTTGTTTTTTTTTTTAAATAATATTGTCAAAAAAAAATGTTAGTTTTTTAGATTTTAAGTGTAGTAAAGAATAAATTGGTTTTACTAAGATGTTTATTATATTTTTTTTTTATATGTGCGTAAATTTTCTACCAGAAGACTTGCTCAGATTTTTACTTTTCTTTACTTTTCCTTTCAGAAAAAATGAAACACGTAAACAACATCTGTGTGGGGAGGTAATTTAAAAAAATGTTTCAATTTTCTCAAAAGTTTTCTCATTAAATCTGAAAAACCGAAAAAAACTTGGAAAAACCTGAGAAATCGTAGGAAACTTGGGAAAATTGGAACAACATAAAACAAATATTATTAAAAAAAAATATATAAAGTCTATTTAATTATTTTAACACGAAATGACATATATATTGTTGACAAAGCATTACTATCAACTGAACTCCGGTCAGAATCGTTTTTTCGTAAGGAATGGTTTATCGATAGGTGCTTACAGATGTACATTAAATTTCCGTCTATATCCTACCTTCCCAAAGGTAAGATATAAAAGCTCTTATTTGGTAGTAAAAGTACCAAATTACTATATTTAGTACTTCATTCTTATTGAATAAGTTTTATCTCGAGGTTTTAAAACCTATAATTATCTGTTTTTCTTTATTACAGGAAATAAATTTGATTAAAAAATAGGATAATTATTGAAACACGTGAATAATAACCCGTGTATATGCATATTTTTAAGTACCCACATGGTTTTATACACAATTTTATATTACTTGCACGAGTGTATGTGAATACGTAATTTAACATGAATGCCACAATTTATTGTTCTTATGTTCTTAGTTTCTCACAAATATTCTACGTATTGTTATTTTACTATAAGCCGTCTGTTAGTTAAATCAAGACAGTAAATACAAGAAAGCGTTCTATTAATAACATGAGAAAAATCAATTTTTAAATTACATATATTTACATATGCATCAATGACAAACTACATTGTCAGGCAGTTGACGCACATGTGCGCTCACTCGTCTGTATTAAAATGTGATTATCTGACGAAAAAATTGATAATAGCTAATTTAAAGTAGGTATTTTCAAAGATGTACAATAAAATTGCAAAAAAATTTACTGTGATAATATTTAAAGACGTTACAAGCATTTTAATATTTGCTTTTATTCAGGGTATACCAAAATGTTGTACCTAACCTAACCAGTTAATATTGTATTTGATAGTGTATAATTTGTTTTGTCGTTATTTCGTTTTATAGGTATTAACACTTTTTTATTAGATCTAAAACGTAATATACGCATTACGTATATTCATGTACAAAGGATTCATTGAGTAGATTGAAAAAAAAATCGAATTAAAAAAAAATAAGAGACGGACATACTTCGCACGTGGGTGCAGCCACTGTTGTAGGTGGGAAGTTGGGAAGGTAGGATATAGAAGGGAATTTAGTGTATACCTGTAAACATCGATAAAAAATGTTTAACAAAAAAACGATTCGAAGCGGAATTCAGTTGATAGTGATGCTTTGTTAACAATATATATGAAATTAAGAGACGCGTAATTACCTAACTTAACCGATATAGAAAAAACCTTACAGATAAAGGACGAAAGACACCAATACCAGATACAAATATTACAAATATTTAATACATTTGTATTATTTAAATAATACAAATATTTGTTTGGGAAAAACGGAAAAATCGGTATAGTATACCGATTTTTCAGTTTTTCGTACGTTTTTCCCGATTTTCCCATATTTTTTCCGGCTTTTCACATTTTCTGGGAAATTTCCTGGAAAAATCGAAAAATATCATGCTAAAGTACTTTCTCAGTCAGATTAACTTTCAGAAAAAGTGCTATTATTGTAAATTGGAGCAAAATTGCTGGTAGAAAAGTTGTCCACAGAAAAATATTTTCCCGTTTGTCCTCCGCTTGTTCTTGGTTTTTTATATTTGATAAAAAAATAAAAAAAAGACCTCCCTAAATTACCATCCCAAGAAAATTTCCATTCAGAATAAGGTCCACGTCATATATATCGGAGTAAGCATTCCTGTAAAAAAGTATTCACATAAAAAAAAAAAAAAACAACAATATTATACTATTAATACATTATTAAAATATTAATTTCTTTGTAAAATCAATACGCTTCACTCGAATCTAAAATATTGCTCTGGACAGTGTATACAAATTTTAAAGTGCTCGACAGTGAAAAGGTAAAAGCCTGGAATATTAATACGAGGTAAGTAGGTGTTACTCATTTGTCAACAAATTATTATAGGTGCTTATCGATATATTTTGAATAGATATTAAAATATTGGTCCCACAGAAGAAGAGCTTTTAAGTCTTGAGTTAATTTTGTATATTTTCCAACACAAGAAACTACAAAATTTAAAATACATACACTTATGCCAATTAAACTAAAAAATTAAGGGGACAAAATAATAATAATAATTAAAAAAAATGGTAATAACTGATTTAACATTTTCTTCCTTGGGACCAATGAATTATTAATTAATAATAGTTTAAAATATTTAAGTAATCGAAAATAATTCAGTGTTTATCTCACATTACCATGTGTTTCTGCTTGTGCTTCTGACTATAGGCGTCATTCCGTTTTTGAACAAATTATTTTTGTTGCTAATGTTCACGATGTTAAATAAAACGTTCTGAAATGGAACAATAATATCATTAATACCTAATTGTAAATAAAACGTTTCGATGACTCGTTGCACAATGTTCTGAAACTAAAAAAAAACCTGTCAAAATTAACAACGATTTAAATTTAGTCTTATACATTTATAAAAAAAAAAATCTTACTACCTTTGCATTTGTGAGGTTCTTAAATTCAAATTTGATATTAGATTTTTAATTTCCCCTTGAATGAGAAGATTAAGAGGTTTTCCCATGCTTTTTCACATTTACTGGGAAAAAAAAACCTCCCCAAGTTACCATGAATATGAAATTACTTTCAGAAAATAATTTACACTGTATACATTGGAGCAAGATTTTCGGTAGAAAAGTTTACACAACAAATTGAGGTTTGCGATTAAAATAGTCCGAGTGGGCGACGGCTTGGGTCTCTAGACACCCCCAAAATGAGTTTGTCTTTTCCTTGTTTAGGTAAAAGGAAAAAAAAACATTGTAAAATATTTTTATTCAAAAGACGGGTTCGAGAACTCGCGAACCCTAGGATGAAAATAGGTATGTATATAACCATTTAGCTGTGACAAACATTTTTTAGAGAAGACAATATTTTGTTATAACATAACATACAATATCCGCACAATATCAGAACTTTAAAAGCTATAATTTCGAAACTCAGTCAATCCACTCAATTCCGACTTCACTATTGTTCTTAAATCGGTAATATGCATATGTTCAAAAAAAAAAAAAAAAAATTGAAAAATTAGATTTGTTCCACATAATTTTTTACTCCACGAATTTTATCATAAATTGATATTAAAATTTCCTTTTAAAAAAAATACTATATTAAACTCAAATTTTCCTTTTTTGACCACAAAGTAAGACTCTTAATGGACCTACTGTTAAATTTTCAAGTATTTCTGTTCAGTCTAATAATTTAACCAAAGAGTACTTACCGAATAAAAATTACGTACAAAACTTGCAAAATTAATATGTCTAAAAATAGCTAAAAAAATGGCTTAAATTTTTTTGAAAATTTTACCGCGTCTAAAAAAGGCAAGTATAAATTTTTTTTTCAAATATCGAGTGTCTACAAATATTTTTTAATTAAATCACAACAAATAACAAAATCGAAAAATAATAAAATCAATATTTTCGTATATTTCCCGTTTTTCTTACGTTTTATTCTGGTTTTTCCCAGATATTATGAAAACCGCTTACAAAATTAAAAAATTACTTTTCAAAAGTACCATCTGAACAACACCCAAAAATGGTGTCACGTGTATATATTTGAAAAAGATTTCTGGTAGAATTTTTGTACACAGTATAAAAAAAAAAAAAATAAAAAACAATTAGACCACATTGATTTGTTTTAGGATTTTAGATTGGTAAATTTGTATTTTGTTGATGTTAGTAGGTTTTGCTGACCCCTAGAGCTGTATGCCATGTAATATACAATAATAATATAAATATAAAACAATTTTTTTTGCATATAATAATAGCCCTTATATTGAATTTTTATCGACCATATTCATTATTAATTTACTTAAACTTAAAAATTAACTTTGAGGTTTTAAAATGTAAAGAATATGATGTTATTTTCATGAATAATACAGAAACTTATGTAGGAATATATATATATATATATATATTAAATTTCAAGTTAAAAAAAACCGAACAAAAATGTATGAAACTTCAAAACGTATATTGTATGCAGCTATAGTGTTAATCTAGTAGAACGAAATCCAATAAACAGAATAGAAAAATAATAAAAATGAAATTTAGTCATGTTTTTTGATAGATCGGAACACAGCGGACACGTCTGTGATATTTTATTTTAAAAGTTTCAAAGATATCACTTACTTGGTCTTGTCTTGTATTTTCTACGACGAAGTTGAACCACAATCTGTGCCGCGGATTGCATGTATCCGGTCGTATGAAAAGATCGTATTCGTATTCGCATACCAAATCTATTCTCCCCAAATTACCTAAAATAAGTACACAACGTAATAATGGTAGTATATAATAAATAAATGTCAATTAGATAAACGTAATATTATGAAAAAAGCTGGGCGTAGTTCGGCATGGGTAAGCTACTCAAGTAGGTGGTTAAAGTTTGAAACGAATAGGACATATAGGGAAATTTAATTTATATACTGAAAGCAAGGTTATTAATACAATCAAAAAAATATTTCTGAACAATTATGTTAATATAGTTTTAACCGTGTATTTTCTGTTCTAGTTTATAAGGTAACAGAGAATCGACAAAATTAAAACCGATGTATCCACATGTTTTGTGGTCTATTTTTCATATTTTATAGGAAAACTTTTTGAAATCTAGAAATTTTTTCCAAATAGAATACCATGTTTTAACAAATCTGGATCTTTCAGATACGAGTACGATATGGAAAAAAAAAATATTAACAGTTTTTCCTGAAAAGTAAAACATATGTCGGTAGAATTTGTAACTTCTTCAAAATCTAAAAAAACTAAAAAAAAAGTCCTAGGATAATAGGGACGGTGTAGTCACTGTTATAGATAATTTAATGTGTACCTGTAGGCAACGATTAACCATTGCTTACGAAAAAACGAATTTGAGCGGAATTCAGTTGATGTGATGCTTTGTCAACAATATATATATATATATCATTTTATAGTAAAATAATTAAATAGTCTTTACATATTTTCTTTTATAATATTTGTTTAATGTTGTACCGATTTTCCCAGTTTTCCTACGTTTTTCTCGGTTTACCCATATTTTATCCCGGTTTATCATATTTGCTAGGAAAGTCTTGGGAAAATCGAAAAACTACCTCTTTAAAATACCTCCCTAGTGAAATTTTCTTTTGGAAAAATCGCTATCATAAGTTGGAGCGAAATTGTTGGTTGAAAAATTGTGTACAGAAAAAAAATCGTAATATTTTAGTAATATGGTTCGTATTTTCAAATTTGATGAGAAAACTTCTGAGAAAATGACCTTTCTAAAGTACCTCCCTACATCGATTTCCTTGCAGAAAATGTGCTACACTTTTTATCTGTGCGCAACTTTTCTACTAGAAGACTTGCGCACAGATAAAAAAAAAAAAAACAACTTTGTAAAACCATAAGCTTTTTCGCTCCACTTAAAATTTAAAATAATTCTAATTAGAAGAGCACAGTTATACGTTTTTTTTACAAAATATTAATTGAACTTTTTTCTCCATAAATATCGTAAAAAATATATGGGTTAATTTCATACCTTTTCAACGGTGTATAATTCTGAGACATTAAACGCTAAATATTTATTTTTATTTAACTGGTAGTTAGAAAATATTTGTATTTAATTTTTAAGGATTCATTTATTTGAGTCATTAAAAGTAGATTCCACACATAAATCGGAATAAAATTGTTAAAAATAGAAAAAAAAACAGTCACTGTTGTTTGTAAAAAGTTGGGATGGTAGATCAGATAGTTATTTAATTTATATCTATAGACAATTATTAACAAAACTCGATTCTTAATGAAGTTCGATTATTACGTGATTTAAAATGCCGTGATTATTACGATTTTCGTCAACATTTTATTTTAAAACGCTTATGAAAAAAAATTGTACGATACGCTAAAATTCTATTTTAACCACCTAGTTCAGTTTATAATGAACCTCGTATTAAATTGTTGAGCATTTCTATTCGGCTAAATCATTTTATCTACATTAAACCAAATGAAAACTAAATTTCTCGAAAATCGTAAATGCTAATAATTGATAGCTCAAAAATCGTCACAACGTTTTGAACATTTTACCACTTCTCGAAAAGGTCATTATAAGTAATTCTTCAAAATTTCCGGTCAACGATTATTTTTAATTAAATTAAAACAACAACAACAAAAAAAAAAAACTAAAGAGAATATAACGAAACCATTAATGTATGAACATAATCTTTTTCAGTTTTCCTACTTATTTATTAATAAAACTACAAGCAAAATTAAAATATACAGCACCTAAGTCAAAAACGCTACAAAAAATGCTTTCTTGTCACTATTTGATTGGAGTATGAATTATGGTGGAGAAGTTGTTTACAGGGCAAACACAAAATAAATTTAAACAATTGCACAAATTGTAGTTAAACCAATACATTGTGCACTGGGCTCAGAATCTAAAAATAATAATGGATTTTATCGAAAAATCTAAAAATCGCTTTTCGGATTTTTCAACGTTTTTCTTAATTTTCGCGTACACATGAGAAGAAATTTCGAATTATATTAAAATTAAAAATTTCGTTGGAGTGTACTCGTATATATTAAATTAATTGTTAAATGCAGAAAAAGCATATGTTCCAGTTTAATGATGTTTCATAAAACGACTGTATAGATGATTTGTTTTTTATTTTTTTTCAAGGATTTTTAAAATATGTTTCTCTTTTCTGGAAAATTTTAAAATTTGAATACAATTTTTTACTAAGCAATTCATATTTTTAGAGTGGAAATCGTGTATTTTAATAGACTTATAGTCTGGCTGGTAACTGAACATTTACAACGCTCAGTAACGGCAATGGCGCGGCGACGAGAGCGTAATTTTGTATTTTTTTTTTTGTCAGCCGGATGTAAAGTCGTATATAAACTTAAAATCAATACTATAACCACATAATGCCAGTAGGTACGGTTTTTTTTTTTTACTATAGATCGGGAGGAGCGTATATTTATACGATTACCTATGGTATATAATATATATATATATATATTGTTTATTAAAATTAATTACAAGACAAACTTCGAGCGAGCGGACCCTTGCTGCATCACGCACAAATGCCACCCCATCATACTATATACAATATTTATACAGGGTGCTGGCGGAATGTTGTTGTGTAAAACGGAGGGAGAGTTGATTTTCAAACCGTTTCCCGTGACTACGCAAACACGCGGTGGCCGAAACGGGCTATTTTTCGTACACCTATATGCCGATATCGAAACTCACAATCGAAAATATTATACAACTATAACGTATAAAAACTTTAGCTTGAAAAACGACGACAATTTCACGCGTTTTTTTCACGGTGCACGACGAACATGTAATGAAAAAAGAAAAAGAAAAGAAGGCTTATATACTGGTAATAGTTGTGCCACTGTTTCAGGAAAAAAATTGGAATAGAGGATATTATATAGAGTAATTTTATTTATATCTATTTACAACGATAAACCATTGTTAACGAAAAACGATTCTGAGCATAGTTTTATTAGTCGTATATATTTCCTTGAGGCCAAAGTTTTTCTCATTTATTAATAAATACAAGAAAATAAAATAATAAAATGACCTTTTTAAGGAAACGACTATATAGAAAATGCTACAAGGAAGTTTTTAAAAAGTGTTTTAAATATTGGAGAATGATTTCTGGTAGAAAAGTTGTTTTTTAGACACAGACACAGACATAATACATCGTGTTCATCAATACATAATAATACATCAAGAACAGCGTTGTAACACTTACATACTGAATTATTATAAACCTAAAATTCTTATATGTACATATACATACGCTTCGTACGTAAAACGACATTTATAATAAATATTATTGTACATGTAAATTATCGATATTATACTTGTGGCGTTTTTACAGTTTTTCAAGTGTTGAATTGCAAGACTATTATTATATATTAGGAATCATTTTAAAATACAATAGATAAGACCGATAATATGATACATTTCATCGTTCGAATACTTTCGAAAATTTGAAATGCTATTTGACGAAGTCAATATAACGTGTTAAACACGACACTATCATACAGGATGATCAGCTATCGATAAAACGCACTCATTATTTTAGAAAAAAAATTAGATGCATGGTGTTCGAATACTCGGTCTACTACTATCCCTCTATCCAAATTTAAAAGTGAAATATCTCGTCAACAGGTTCGTTAAAATCGAAAATTTTAGCATCGAAATTTATGAAAATAAAAACTTCGTCTATTTATAGAATTTCAAATATAGGATACTGTTTAAAAATCAACTGCAGACAGAGCAGGTTTCATCTCCTAAAATAAATGTGAAAACAAATATCGGTAATGTACACGTAAGATTTCCAAGTTTCTTATTATTTAAATTTAAAAAAATCTATGAACTATCGAGAAATTTACACAATAACTTTATAATATATTATATAGAAAATCGCTAGTTCTTTTATCGAAAAAACAGCCTGTAGTATAATAATATTGCACTGTAATATAATCTGGCATCCATATTTAAAAAAAATCACACACAAAGTTTAGAGAAAATTCAAAATAATTTTATTCATTTTTTATGTTTTCAATGCTTTATCTATAGAACTTTACATTCAAGCTACGAAGAAGAGTCAAACATTTTTAATATTTTGACGTTTGAAAATCGTTTTCTTCAAATAAAACTTAAATATGTATATGAACTAATAAATAATATGATTGATTGCACTTCAAAACATACATATTTTAATAATCAATTAAAAAAAGACGGACATCTTCGCATAATNGATGCAGCCACTGTTGTTGGTGAGAAGAACGGAAGGCATAGGATATTGAGGGGAAATTAAATTGTATCTGTAAGCAACGATAAACCATTGCTTATTGAAAACGATTCTGAGTGGAGTTCAGTTGATAGTGATGCTTTGTTAACAATATATGTATGTCATATTATGGTAAAATAGTTAAATAGGCATTATATATTTTCTTTAATAATATTTGTTTAATGTTGTACCGATTTACCCGTTTTATCTACGTTTTTCTCGGTTTTTCCATGTTTTTCCTGGTTTTTCACATTGGCTGGAAAAATCGAAAAATTACTTCCCTAAAATACCTTCCCAGTTAGATTTCTTCCCGGAAAATATGCTTTTATTGTAAATCGGAGCAGAATTGCTAGTAAAAATGTTATCCACTATTACATATTAACATTATTATTGTAATTGTTATTATGCATATTTTTAAATAATGAAATTTCGAGATTATTCGTAACGGTTACGTTTTTTTTTTTTTTTCAGAACGCTTCATAGGCGCTTGTGGTATATACATGTCTAATAACACATTTATTTCTTTTATAACGTACAACTATGTTGAGGCTTTTGAGTAGGTACCTACCTATTTATTTTTTAATATAATAATCTCGTTCAAAAATGCACATGACATAATCCCGCGGTATATACTGTGCCGCGGCTCGCTTTGAATGATAAAATAAAATAATTATGCATATACCGTATATGTTTGACGACTGCTGTTATTTTTATCGCATGGCCTTTCCGCGATGATAATTATTTTATTATACTGTATTCATTAAGTGGCAAATTTTCTCTCTTTTGGCGACGGAACGCCAAAACTTCGCCAATCATTATCTCTCTCTCACGTCATCCTGGCGTTCGTTTTGACGTAATATTTTCATCTCGAGGCCCTGTGGCACCCTCTCTGAGAAATACCACAGCATTGTGTCGTTAAGGAAAAAAATAATAAGAGTACACGTCTATATTATTATTATTATACTGCCTACGTATTACAATATACCAGAACAATAATCGTCCACTCGGCGGTATTATTATTTACTATTCACTGAAATTATTTCTATGAATATAAAGGATTTCAAAGTATAACGTGGGCGAAGTAGGTTTCCACAGAGAGCCGCACGATATTAAAATGTACGGATAGCATCGTCACTGGCGCAACGTCACTTATAGAAGGTTTGTTAAGGTTTGCAGTGGTTAGGACACGTTATCATAATAACGAGGGGAGAAAATAAGGTACGGCAAGAATGATGGGTTATGTTACGGAAACCCCAAGGTATAATATTAATTAATGACTTCTGGGAAGACACTGGAAATAGGCGAGCGAAGAAGATTCGAGATTTCTCGTGCATTCGAAAACCGGAATGAGATTGTTTGCAAATCAAGCATATATAGCACAAAAATCGTTTAAATATTTAGTGAGAATGCTGATGAATAAGAAAAAATCAACTGCGTATTGTTAACAAGCCGTCGTCCGTTGACGATAAAATTATAAAATTTCGAAAAATGAAATGACTGCGTATTTTTTTCAACGGTCAAATAAGGTAGAGAGTTTTAAGCACTAACATGAAAATGTTTACGATATTTCCGAGCATGTGTAAGAGAGAAAACATTTCGTAAAACATGTGTTGGAAATAACATCGTCACGTATCGCAAACAGAAATTGGTATATTTTAAGAGCCATCAACAAAATGTGAACACATAATGGCTAATATACAAACAGTACCGATCGATTCGACGACGACGAGACAAATGAAACTGGCTGATTTTGCTTCTTATGTGTGTCATCATACATTTGTATTTGAATAGAATATTCAAAATATTTACGCAGATTTTTTTTTTCCTTATGTATTTCTGTGCTAAAAGCGAGGTACGCAATCGTTTGTGGAATGTAGACATTTGGTACTTTAGTGTTTTCACGTTTAGTTTTAAAATCATAACGCATCGATTACTATACAGTATAATATACATACAGTGGGTGGGCATTAATGTTAATATTATGTCCATAGCAAAACCCCCGTGTAATAATTGATGTGTTTTAGGATGCGTTTTCGGTAGTTGACAACGATTGGTTAATCTCATATAGGAATTACTATACTTAATATATTATAATTGGCAGGTCCTGCCGTTTTATAGGCGAATGAGTTTTAACGAATACCCGAGGTTTACAGAAATATTGTTATAAAAATTGATTTTTTCTAATGTTTCCCGAAAATACATTTAGGATACTGAGGGAACAAGGATATAGGAGAAAGCTAGTTGAGATACGGGAACAGGTAATAACGTCTAGACAAGGCTCTACCCCTAGGCCCCAGGTACTCTTGTGGTACAGGATACTGTAGCGGATACAGTCGGTGGGTGGACAATCCGCCTTCGGCGGACAGGATGCAGTATAACGTGTATGAAACATTATTATTGTGAACATAAAACGTGTAGACATTAGTCTAAAATACTTTTTGCTCTGTTTCTATTCGCCCGAAGGATGGTCTGAATAGAAGTATTTATGATTTTTTTCTATTTTGAATAAAAATACATTTTGATGTTTTTAAAAAATATGCGTAATTTTGGCCGGTAAAAAATATGTTTGTAATAGAATGTAATAATATTTTTACCAAGTCATATAAATAACCAAAAATAAATAATAATTACACATTATCAATTTTAAGCGCACGGTGGTAGAAATAAACAAAACGTTTGAGTTCATCGAATTTCGTACTAATGTGTATTTCTAAGTCTGTATTAATATCAAAACTTATTTTCTGAAACATGTTTAGAGAAATTTGAACTAGGGGCAGACTTTTTAAATTTTATTTCAGAAATGTGTTTTTATATCTTATTTTAAAATATCTATTTGTCTTAACTATATACGATTTATTACAGTTACATTAAAGTAAAATATACAGGCTGTCTCTTGAAGATATACCCCTTGAATACCTCCGGAGATAATAAAGATAGTCTGCTTTAAAGAAATTCTGCTTTAAAAACTTTAAGACAGCCATTCTGTAGAGTTTATTTTTCTGAAAATTGTAATGTATCACACATTTATATCTGATAAATAGTTTCTAAGTAACAGCCGTTATAAATTCTACTAACCCGTGTAAAAATCAATGTTATCGCGTAACGTGGTTATTCCTTAGATAACATTCGTTTTCACACTGGTTAGTAGAATTTACAACGGCTGTTACAAGGAAACTATTTATCAGATATAAATGTGTGATACATTAAAATTTTCAGAAAAATAAATTCCACAGAATGGGCCATCTTAAAATTTTCCTAAAATAACAAAATAACGTTAATATTATTATTATTTTTTTACATTAATACAAATATAAATATTTGTAGTCCTCATCCTTATGAGTAATATAAAAAAAAAAAAAAACAGAATTTGACTATTTTTATTATCTCCGGAGGTATCTCCGTTCAGCCTATGTACCAGAAATTAAACAATAACAACAGAAAAAGAACCTTTTTAAATAAAGTACCACCGGTCAGAAATTCAGCATCTTTTGAGATACAACATGCAAATATTGGCGAATTTTCCATATTTATTTTTAAAAAAAAAAAAAAATAACAAAAACATCGATTTTTTTATATGCATTAGGTATCACGGCATATCAGGTAGAATGTAAAATAATGTCTTTTGTATCATGTACAAAAATAATACAGTATGTATTGATATGCTGTCCGCACGTAGATATGTCATTCAAATAAATAACGTATCGATCATTATGTTATGCATATATTATAGTTAATGCAATAATAATAATTTATAACGAAAATGATAAATCGGTTTATCAGCCGTGATAACGTTCGCATAATCGAGGGTTCGGATAATCGGTTCTACTGTACCAGGGGCGTATAAGGCTCACCGGAATGTCCAGTGTTGGAAAAAAATAGAGACACACTTCGCACGACGGGTGAGCTACTGTTGTATGTGAGAATTTGAGAAGGTTGAGGGGGAATTTAATTTATATTTTTACGCAACGATTAACCATTGCTAACAAAAACCGATTCTGATGAGAGTTCGGTTAATCAAAGGTTCTGATAGTCGAGAGTTCGGATGGTTGAGAGTTCGGTTAATTGAGTTCTATATACCAGGGGCGTATACGCTCACCGGAACGTTCAATATTTAAAAAAAGATACGGATATACCATTGCACGATGGGTGGGCTACTGTTGTAGGTGAGAATCTGCGAAGGTAGATGGGAAATTTAATGTACATCTGTACGCAACGAATAACCATCGCTAACGTAACACGATTCTAAGCGAAGTTCGGTTAATAGTGTTGCTTTATCAACAATATATATATATATGTAATTTTTTGGTACAATAATTACATGTGTATTATATATTTCCTTTAATAGTATTTGATTAATATTTTACCTATTTTACCGTGCGTAAAAATACCGGGAATTTAAATAAAATCGGTTTACCAGCCGCGATAACGTTCGGATAATCTAGCGTTCAGATAACCGAGGGTTCGGTTAATCGAGTTTACTGTACCAGGGGCGTAGAGACTCGCCGGGACACAATGATTTTCCCGGTGGGGGCCTCTACTTGTCTGTGTTTGTGCACACAAACTCGACAAGTAATATTATCACAGTAAAAACACGTAAATGCGTTTAATTGAAAAATTATTAATAAATATAACGCGTTACATATTATCATAATTATTTTTCTATTGCCTAACATAAAACTAATTTGATAAAAGTGTACAAGATATAGCACACATCCAGATTTTATAAAAGTTGTGTGATTGATGTTATTGATGTTGAGGACTTTATAATAAAATAATTTATAAACGATTATAAGAGTATAAAAAAATTAATACTTTAGATATTGTTTTTGATTGGAATTCATTTTTATAATTATTATTTATATTCGATTATAGCTCAGATGGAACACATTTCCCATTCATAAAGCACACTACCAAAATCGGAAAAAAACTTGTTGTAGCGGTAATATCCACGAACAAGTTAAGTAAATATTTTAAGATTTTGAGTTACAGTATACGATGGATTGCTGCTTAAAAATGCATCCCGTTTTTCCTACGTTTTTAAGGCTTTTTCTTCATTTTTTCACATTTTATGAGAAAAATCTTGACAAAATCAACTTTCTCAAACCAATTTTCTTTCAGAAAAGGTGCTACACATAAAAATCGGAGCAAGATATCTGGTAGAAGTTGTCCACAGGAAAAAAAAAAAAAAAAAACTTCTTTGTAAAACTATAAATTTCTTCGTTCTATTCAGAATCTATAATAATATATTCTTCACCAAAATTATGTTCCAATCGTTTATCTTTTTCTGTTACATTATCTGTTATCCATTGCAATCGTTTATTGTTTACTGATATTAAGCGATTCACTACCGATTTCAATCGTTCAACGTTATAATAATAAAGTTTTAAAGGTCTAGCCAAATATGAAATATGTGAAATATGGGTAAAATGTTGAAAATATTGCAAATAAAATCGACGATCATTATCGATTCTATAATAATAATGCCTGAAAAAAAAAAAATACAAAAATTAAATTTACACAAAATCTGCACAAGCCCGTGATAAAGCAATCCCCTTGTATATAATTTGCTAGCGAGGCCCACCACAATGTTGCTCGTGGCAACCGAAATAATACATGTATAAACAATAACAGTTACCCATATTTTACAGGCGATAATTCCATAGTTAACGTAGACACATCGTAAAAAAAAAAAAAAAATTTAAAATAATGTTTTATTTGGACGTTACACTAAGGGCGATTATATATTATATATTACGAGCCTTGTATTATGGCCAGTGTTGTTTCGAAACTTTGTTCATTTTTAGCTTATAAACTGAGCAAAGAAAATATTTATTATATAATATATTTATTTTAGATTCGGAGCGTAAGGAGGGATCTATTGGTTTTTTTTTTTTTTACTTTTAATATTCTTCAGTAAAAGTTTCGAAAAGTTTTACTACCTATATACTTGTATAATATATATAGTATACCTCGTTTCATTAACATTGGGAAATTTTAATATTATATTTATACATAAATATAATATATACAGGGTGACACACGATGATTTGCCACTTAAAATAAATTTTGTTCTATTCAATATTTTTGATATATATATAATTTTTAATTATTCTGCGCTATAGTTATATATGAACATTTTTTTTTTAATGAGAGGGGGACTTAAAATTTATTTTTAAAACTTAAATATTATTTTTTTTAAAAAAAATCAAAATAGCTATTTCATAAAGTAGATTTTTAGAAAATTTTATTTTCCACGATTTGTTAAAGTTTATGCAAATGTGAATATTACCTGTTGTGGTTATTCTATTGCAATATTTAATCAGTTATTAGTATTCAGGGCACATGACAAGGTTTTTTTTCGTGAGTTAATATTATTATATTATAGGTAATGGGTATTGGAAAAGTAAATTAATAATGGTCATTTATGTTGATAAACTATACTGTTATGATCGAAAAGAAAATTATTCAAATTTTTAAAAAGCCATGGAAAATAAAACACTTTACTTTAACAAAAGTTTCAACCACCAAAAATCTTTTAAAAACCTATTTTACAAAATGGCTATTTTAAATTTTTTTTATTTTAAATCCACCTCCCTTTAAAAAAAAAATTATAGTATAAACTGTAACGTAAAGTTATACTAATTGTTAAAAAAAATGTTAAAAATATTAAATAGAACAAAGTGAAGCATTTGACTAGGGTCTGACTAGAAAAATATGTAAATCTATTTTGATTAGCAGAACTTCCAATTTTTTTCAAATGAGTAGTCAAAGGGGCGTGGTCTTTAAAACTTTTAAAGCGACAAGAAGTTACCACGATTCTTAAACGTTAAGCTTTCTTTATGTCCTTTTAGTGCAATATTTTTTCTTCCTAAATAAAAGAGGATTTCAAAAATAGTTCTTACTATTTCCCTATGTTCAGCTACTTAGTTGTTTGATGCCAATTTAAATTTTTCCCCTATACGATTGTTATTAGAATATTAATCTCCTAATTTATGATTCTAAATATTGATCTTTAATGGATCAATTATAATAAATATTTTATTATAATATTTTAAAATATGTTTTACCGAACTCGCTCCTAATAATTTTTCGTTGCTTACAGATAAAAATTAATGTTCCCACTTTATCTTACCTTTTCAACTTTTCTCCAACAACAGTAACCTACCCATTATGTGAAGTATGCTCTTGTTTTTTAAGTATAAATTTTAATCTCAAACGAATGGCACTTGCTGATACTGGGGATGGATGCGGCCACTGCTGTAGGTGGGTAGTTGGGAAGGTAGGACACATAAAGTTTTCAAACTTATATCTGTACGCAACGGTAAACCGTTAATAACGAAAAAATATTCAGAGCAAGTTCGGTAAGAAATATTTTAAAATGCCTTTCTCCCGGGAAAAGTATTGAGTTGCAAATTTGAATTTATAAAAATAAATAATTTTAAATAGAGAAATATATTTTTTGTAAAAATATGAGTTATTACTTTATTACTATCTAGGTATAATCAATAATAACAAATCGAAAACAAATTGTTTGAGCGTCATTAAGCTGTCTTGTAATGTTAAAAAATTAATAATATGTAGTTGCGTAAAATATTAAATATATTTCGTTTTTGCATCAGTATAGAAGGTTTACCGTTATAACTTGAGTTTGACAAGTCGTAGAATTTCGTTGCAAATTAGTCACACAATTTTGACACCGGTTTGGAGTCGATTCAGCAATGTTCTACCCAACAGGAAAACCGTTCTCCCTGGAAAAGTATTGAGTTGCGAACTTTGAGAACTCCACTCCAAATTGTTACAAATAAGTTACACATTTTTGGCGCCGGTTTGGTTTTCACACAACAATGTCGGGAGAGCCAATTTCACGGACTTCCTTATGCTAAAAGCTATGACAATATTCATTTCTTTTTTTTCTTTTCTTTTTTTTTTTTTTTAAATCGTGTTTTGTTTGTAGAGAAAATCTAATTTTTATTTTCATGCCTTAATCATTGAAAAAATGTACTTTTTATTTTTCTACTTTTTAAAATTTTTAAAGTAGACATTTTGTAAAATATATTATTCTAAAAATTTTAATTCAACATAAATTCATATTCGATTAATAGTAGCCTCAATGCACAGAAGTAAGGAATTGCCGTGCTGATTGTGATTCCTTATCGCCTAACGTGTTATTCTATTGTCAAAATTAATTGTTTTCATGCCAATTTTTCAGGCATTAAATGACTATTACTAAGAAACTATTGATCGTATATATGTATGTTACATTGAAATTTTTAAAATAATATCTTTTACATAATGGCTATTTTGAAAAGTGATAAAATTAAGTTATTTTTTCGTTCAATAATTAAGGGATGAAAATAAAAATTTAATTTTTCTCCACATTTGTGTCCCCCTCACATAAAACCCGATTGAAAAACAAAATGTAAAAAAAAATGAATTTTGACAGAATCATTAGCATATAGAGATAACATTGTAGGACACCCAGAATACGTACCAGTCTCTTTGTTGTTCGCTGTTTTTTGTCTATATACTCGATTAAATTTATAACAAGTCTCATAGTGACAATATTTTATAAAAAAACGCTTAATAATAATATCAATTTGAAATATTCAATTTAATTTAAAATTGTTGTCACGCCGTCGTAAGCACAATGAAACCGTAAATCAATAAAATATGCAAATTCCAAATCGTTAAAATATTCAAGTGTCAGCACTCCCACGTATAGAAATCGAATTGGAAATAACGAATTATGGGTTCCGTCTGTTTTGTCACATTTTAATATAGAGAAAAAATCGATTGCAAAAATGCCAGTGTTTTTTTTTTCAACAAAACAATAACTAAAAAAAGTCCAATTGTTTGTACAATATTGTTTTAAAAGAATTAAATAAGTCTTATACGAAAAAACCTTAAGTGCATAATAATATAATTACACTCAATATTTTACGCATAGTTACGCATAATTTGGGGAGGGACTAAGTCCTTAAAAGATTTTTTAAGCTCTTCATGTTTAAAAATAAATCTTTTCAATAGCATATCAAATATAAACAAACGGATATACTTCGCGCGATAAGTATAGTCACAGTAGTTGGTGAGAAGTTTGGAAGGTATAGGATATATTAAGGGGAAATTAAATTGTATCTGTAAGCTACTATAAACCATTGCTTATTAAAAACGATTCTGAGTGCTGTTCAATCGATAGTGATGTTTTCACAACAATATATATGTCATATTATGGTAAACAAATTAAAAAGGCATTATATATTTTTTTTAATAATATTTGTTTAATATTGTACCGATTTACCCGTTATTCACACGTTTTTCCCGGTTTTCCCTTGTTTTTTTACTGTTTTTCACATGTGCTTGAAAAATTACTGGAAAAATTGAAAAACGATCTCCTTAAAATATCCTTCCAGTCAGATTTCCTTTTAGAAAATAGCCTATATCGTATACATTGGAATAAACTTTTTGATAGAAAAAATGTTCACAAAAAAAAAAAAAAATCATATTTGTAAAACCAATACATGCTTCGCTACACTCAAAATCTAAAATGTATGTTATGTTATACAATTTATTTGCTAAAATATTTTAATTTACAAATAAAACAAAAATTTTAAGCAGGCGGAATTTTTTACAGGTGTGCAGATACACACCTTACACACTCCGTGCGCACGTCTATGAATTTCGTTCCGATTTACAACGATAGCACTTTTTTTGAAAGGTAATCTGACTGGAAAGGTAATTTAGGCAGGTAATTTTTCGATTTCCCCAAGAGTTTTTCCAGAAAAAAGTAAAAAAACCCGGAAAAATATGGGAAAACCGCGGAAAAACGTAGGTTAAACGAGAAAATCAATACAATTTTAAACAAATATTGTAAAAGACAATTTTTAATGCCTATTTACTTAGTTTAGCATAATATAGCATAGATATTGTTGAGAAAGTATTACTGTAAACTGAATTCTGCTCAGATTGTTTTTTACAGATATACATTAAATTCCCTTCCGTATCCTACCTTCCCAAATTCCCACTTTCCCATCCTTATTATCCTAAGACATCATTTTTCCTACTTTTTCTCGTTTTTCTTCCGTTTTTTCCGGTTTTCGTCCGTTTCTCTCGGTTTTTCCAATTTATTGGGAAAACTCCTGGGAAAATCAATAAATGATCATTCTAAACTTGTATATTAAAGCAAGATTTGTGGTAGAAAAGTTGTTCACAAATGAGAAAAATAAAATATCATTGTAAAACTATTGTTTCGCTCAGAATCTAAAATAAATAAATTTTAGATTTTGAGCAAAACGATGAATGTATTTATTTTATAATGTGTTCGACATGTTTTAACTTATGCAATGTGTAGTTATGTCAACTTCCAACAATTCTAAATAAGTTATGTCAACTGCGACCAAGTACACTAAAGAATTTGTCAAACGTAAAATAATAATAAGCATGAAAATATGGAGCTTTTAATAATAATGCACACGATAATTATGGAACTTAAAATATTGTAAAAAACGTGACGGAATACGCCGAAAAAAATGTCTTATATAGCGCACCTGACGAAAAATGCGAATACGCCATGTACAGCGCCAGCCCAAGTAAATATTGAAATTTAGATAGAAATAAATTTCATATTTTTTCAAGAACTATCTGAAACTCCAAAATAAAGTAATACTGCTTTATATTTTTTATGATCTTAAACTTACCAGTTTCGAACGAAGCATCAAAACATAAATGGCCTTTTTTCGCTTTTCCGCTATGGCCAGGTGGCCTCATGATTACTCTCGTGACGTTTCCGAGTCCCGCTTCACCTTCATCACTGTCTATTAAAAAACAATGCAATATTAAAATTATACGATTACAAATTGCATATTTAATGTTCAAGAGAATACGACATATCCGACGTTTAAGGGGTTCCGTATAGGAGATTTAAATGAAATTAAAAAACAAAATGCACATTTATCGTTTCATTATTATCAAATAATTCACTTTCATAATTGAAATATTTAAAAATGGTCTCAATACTCCGTGTTACCATAAAAAAATACCCCTATTCTTGTTTATTTTCACTCAAGACATTTTATCCCCCTTTTAAACCATTAGAGGGTAAAATATTAAAAGGGAGATGTCAATAATCAATAGTGAATTAACCGCTCTTCTCCCGGCCAAATTTCTCTAGTAAATTTTTACCGGAAGTCTGTAGGGCGTATTGTTTTTCAATATATTCAAATTATGAGACAGTATAGATATTTAAGATTAAAAATATTGCCATTTTTATTTTACAAATTCTGAAAAGAGGCCTGGATTAGAATCAAGGAATATTTAACCAAACGGATATCACATTATGCTATTATAGATAAGGTTGCGATTTTTAATTATTATCGTAATTTTACGTCAATAAATCATATTAATTTTAAAAATAAAAGAATGTTTTTCGACACAAGTTCCGTTTAAAAACGGTCACGCCGATTACGTCCTCTTAGTAGCAATTTAATTATCACACCAACACCGATTTTGAAATACTATCTGCAGTATTTCAATGAGCATCTAGCGAATACCATATTTATAATTTTCTGATTGATGCCTATTTTATCAATTAGTAAATGAATATTTATTTTGATATTAATAATAATATTGCGTTCACTATGCATATTATAATATAATGGACTTGAATATTTAATTTCAAGTGGGTAGGTACTTAGTTACTTACTTTGCTGTAAAATAAACTAAAAAGAAAATCTGCACAGTTATCTTTTGTGTAATTAAGAGAACGGCATACGCGCCAGATGTGCTATTTCTATCATACAACCGCGAAACAGAATTTTTTCGTTCAGCAGAGACAACTCTGTGCTATTCAATTTAATATTTAAGTGAACTGAGTTTAATATGAAACTTAAATAAGGGCACATTAGTGGCATATATAGGGGAGTGTTTTGGAGGTTTGACCCCCCCCCCCGAAATTTATGGTTGGTACGGCCACACGTGCGTATTAATAAATTAATTTAATCTACGTTTTAACTAAAACCCAAAAACTTTTTTTTTAACTCCCCAAATTTATTTTCATATATGTCACTGAAGCACATCATTCTCTATGCCTGTCATCAGATTTTTGACAAATGAGGTCGCGTCAGGTCGACGGCTGGTGTAAAAATGTTGTCAAATAATTTTTAGGAGTCTTTGTGTGAATTTTTCCATCTTGGATGCATGCGGAAACAAACAAAAAAAAAAAAGTATGTGTAACATAGAATTCAATGTTATTGCATTAAGTGGAGAAAAGCGTCATGTGTTTTATGTGACAAAAAAATTCCAGTGACACATAAAGGTATAAGGTGTGGTGAGATCAACTCTTTTGTATGGTTTGATCGGTTTGGAGTATCGGACTGTCCAATTCATGAAAAAAATATGAAAATAATAATTATTGGTCAAAAATAAAGGTCATTAATAAAAATAAATTTTTTCTTAACTAATAAAGTTAAGAAAAAAAAGTTGTGTTGTGCGTATGTTAAATTAACGGTACATAATTAGAAAAATCAGAATAATGACTAACTAAAAAAAACAAAATTTAAATTACATAAATCTGCACAAACATATTGAATGTTCTTCTTCGTCGTTAACACATCATAACAATTTATACCGCTTATCTCGAGGAATTTAAAAATTGTAATAAGTAAATCAAATATTATAGTAGGTACGTATTATATTTGTTATGGGTAATGTTTATTTATTAGTGTAGTCTTCAAACATCTTCTCTTACGTAATTAATTTCATTGATTTCAAATATTAATATCAAGGAAACTTGTACCCGTGATATATATATATATATAATAATTATCAATTATCAGTAATAAAAACCTGTTGTAATGTCCACTGTTTAATATGGTAAATGTATTAAATTTAGAAGAGCCACTAGTTAATTTTACTTTAAAAATTGATTCAATACTCATTTTTTAGACAACTCGACATGACGAAAGAAATTACTTGGCAGTGTGGGTACAAATAAATATTTGTAATCATATTATATTATCAAATCTAATAATCAGCCCAGGTGGTTATAAATTAGAATAAAGGGAACACAACAAATACCAATATGTATTCAGTGTGTTATAATACTACTACTTTAAATATAATACATTAGAAAACTTTCAAATCGTTTGTTTTCGTCTTCAAAACAATGCCCGCTCTTAAAAATATGCCACCCAGGGTAACTCCCACATTGTCCACTTTTCCTTCATCCAACATAGTGTTACCCAAATACTACCAATCCCACGGAACTCAGCAAAATTTACACTGAAGAACGGAGGTTGTAAAGAATAAAAAAAAATGTTTGATTAAATCCACAAATCTTATTGTAATAAACACGGTAATCTCGGAAATGAAATTAATTTTTCATGTTGACCTTTTAATTTTTTACAAATTGAGTTTAAAAATCAATAAATTGAAAAGTATTCAAAGCGATCATTATTGGCGGGAATCAGATATGTCTTACTCGTTTCTGATCTAGTGGGATACCACTCTGACTAAAATCACGCTTTATCATATATCTCGAATTGATAACGTTATTAACACGTCCTTATTAGTATGGTAACCTTAGTATATCTGACGTTTGGTAAGAAATATTTCAATTCACGTTAAAACTGATCTTTTTAAACTTGTAAAATTTAAAAATAATCATAAGTCCTAAAGTATTGAAAAAAAAAGAAGCTATTTATTCAATCAGAAAACACTTTTGAATTAGGGAAAAATGCATTTGAAAAATGTTGACAACTCCCATTCACTACTTTTCTTATTTTTTATTACGATGTCTACAAGATTTTTGAATTATCCCAACCACGGCTCACGGCATCGTTCACCTAATCGATAACGGCCAGAAAATCATTCACTTCGGTTTTCCACATCAATGCCGACGACCCCGAGGCAGTGACATACGTGTGTAAAATCGCGGCCTAATGGAAGAAAATGTTCAAAAAAGGCATTCTTCTGGTAAATTACAGAAGAAAAAAAAAACAAACGTTTGAATCACCATCGACAAGTCGAGCATTAAAAAATAAATTCTTAATAATTATTATTTTTTACTTATTTATTTATAATAACAGGTTTGCGCCCATACGGAAACATAATTACAAGTTATTCAGATTCATTAAATTACAAGAAAAATTACAAGTTAACCATAAAATATACATTTTGGTTCGAAGAAGAGACAAGTGTTAGTTTATATACGAAAAATATTAAGAACAAAAGAGAAAAGGGTTGAAATTGGCAGTAAACATAAGGCGGATAATTGGTTCATTGAGTTCGTAATTAGCAGAGCGTAAAAGAAGAAATACAATTTTTAGATGAACGGGTAATACGAAAAGAAATATAAAAGTTAAGTTTAGAAAGTAAAAACGGGCAATCAATTTTGTTGAAAAGGAGTTTCTGTGGAAAGTTAATATTGGCAGAGAGTCTGCAGTTAGCTAAGCTATTCAATTAAGTTTACAGAGGATGGGGTAGTAAATATGTGGAGGATGATCAATTTCAAGCAGAAAAGCTGCATGAAAGAAATTTGCGCTGTACTCGTTCTAATTGTCTGCAGGCAGAGACGCATTTAGATATTTTTTGGATAATTGTAAAATTTTTACAATTATCCAAGTATTGAATTTCAATCCTAATGTTGTAGGTATATTGCCCGTCGTCATGGTCATTGCCGCACCGTACCGCAAGATAAAATCACACTTGTCTGGTTATCAAATTTTGCGTACGGTGCGGTGCGGGCAATTTTACCGCACCACATATATTTGCGGTTGTATTAGGATATCTGTACTTATTTTACCCGATTTGTTTTTTTCCGCACTGCACGCGATGCAAGCACCGCATCGCTCGAATTCAGTTAGGATACGGCGTTATGGTTATATACGAGTATAGAACACAAATGGAGATCTAAGTATACAATTTCTGTGTGAACGCCCGTGATTCTGTTAGATGTCACGGCTGTTGAACTTTAATTTAATGTTATAATTAAAGAATTTATTACATTTCGGTAAATTATATAAATATGTAAATCTGTTTTATGAAAACTGAAATGGTCGCTTGATAAACGCGGTAACTAACATTTTTAAAATTGTTCAGATGGTTGATTTAAAACGAACAATTTACTATTATAGCACGTTTATTCAGTAAATAGAACGACAAAACAGATTATACTAATCTCATCTATTTTAAAATTGGTATTAAGGTTAACACACTAAGTATAACACCTTTACCAAAATATAAAAATACAAATTTTATGTAATTATAATACTCTTATCAATTGAATATTTTCATAAATATACGTGTTCTTCTAAGATTATGTATACACTTGTAATGGGTAATTCGAAGCACTAGTCGATGCTTTGCTAACAAAAAAACGATTCTGAGAGGAGTTTGGTTATACCTATACATGTTTCAAAAATCCGTAATATTTACGATTTGAAAATAATACATTTCGTACATTACATTTTCCCGATTTTTTTTCCCATTTTCCCATTTATTATGAAAAATCCAAATTTCCTTTCAGAAATGTTCTGTATGTACTTGGAAATCGGAGCAAAATTGCTGGTAGAAAATTTGTCCAAAGAAAAAAAAAACTGTAAAACTCGCCCTGCTCAGAATCTAAAACACAATATAACATGTTGTTCACGTTATAGATAATAGATGAACGGTAATACGAGGATTGTCCCAAAAGTAATGCATAGTGCGCTCTAGCTGTCTTGCAATGTGATATTATCAGCTGATTTTAGTATCAGTTTGTAGCTTGAAGTCTAACGAACACGTGCGTTTTCAGTTTTAGTTGTTTTAGTAAAGTATGATGATGTGTGAGAGCGATAACGAAAATGAGAACAATTCGTCGGCTCACATTTCTGTTTTTGAGCAACGCGCATACATTAAAATCGAAACGATTCGTGGTAAAACAGTGCCTGAAATTCATGCCGCGTTAAATGAAGTGTGTGGAACGGATACTGTGGATCGTAGTACGGTGCAAAGATGGCATCAGCGATTCCGGGATGGTCGTATAAGTATTGATAACAACCCTCGCTCTGGCCGACCCTTTACGGTTACTCAAGACAACACTAACGCGGCTATTCTCGCAACTCTACTCGATGAAGACCGACGAATAACGGTGAGAGAGATAGAGAATGAAACAGGTATTTCAAAATCAAGTGTTCACCGCATTTTAACGGAAATTCTACAGAAACGAAAGATTGCAGCACGTTGGGTGCCTCATTTTCTGTCACCGGAACAGAAGGATACACGCAAAGACATCTGCCGTGAACTCTTTTCTCGCTACGAAAATGAAAAAGAAACGTTTCTTGATCGTATAATTGCAATAGATGAGACTTGGATCCGTGATTTTGAGCCGGAATTAAAATCTCAAAGCAATATTTGGAAGGGAATAACATCACCAAGAGCAAAAAAAGTTCGTCGCCAGCAAACAAAGGTGAAACAAATGATGATTTTTGCTTACGATAAATTTGGGATAATTGTCACTGATCGAGTTCCAATTGGCAGTAGTGTAATCGGGGATTACTACAAAACATTCCTTGCCAAAAAATTGCGACCAGAAATCCGTAAAAAGCGACCAGGAATGTTACAAAATGGTGTGTCTATATTGCACGATAATGCGCGGCCGCATATCGGAGCACCAGTCGTCGCTCTTTTGGAGAAATATGGATCGGAACGCCTCAAACACCCACCGTATTCGCCGGATTTAAGTCCCCCGGACCTTGATTTATTTCCAAAACTGAAGGAACCACTTAGAGGGATCCGTTTTCCCAACTTAGATATACTAAATGAAGAAGTGAGCCGAAGGATCCGTGAACTCAACAAAGATGGCGTCCTATGCGGCATTCAAGCGCTCCCGAAACGATGGCAATCGTGTATAGACAAGTAGGGAGGTTATATCGAAGGTCTATAATATTGTATTTAGTTTAAAACAAAAACTTATTTATTCAGAGCAAATTGTGCATTACTTTTGGGACAACCCTCGTAATATATAGATATGCTTATATTTAAAAACATTTTGGCAAAATAAAACATCAATAGGTACCTCACTGTGTAGTGTATATATTATTTATTATACAAGGGCTGAGAAAAGTTTTTATTTTTAATCATTGAGTAGGTATACAAAATGTTGCAACACGAATGGAAACCAATAAAACTTTCCTATTCAGCCGATTGAAAGTTTATAAAATATGTAAAAAGAATCCCTGCGGTAATCCTGTATTATTTATCGTATTAACACTATAGATACGAAAAAGCTGCTATTGTGTAGCCAGAGTTGAAAAGTTTTACAATATATTATAAGCGTGAATTTAAACTGGTTTCGGTTGAGTTATTATTAAAAATTAAGCATTCGAAATTCTCGTGCAAAATATTACCTTATAAATGCACGCCAATTTGCATGTCGTATAATTAGAAAAATAGTCCTTATTGATAAATATAATTGACCGTTAAGCGCAGCGGAGGAACGTAGGACAGAACAGTCATTTGGACGAAAATGAGACGTTTTTATATACGTATGTGTTACGTGCAAAGTATACAATATTTGCTATGTAGATAGTGATATTTAATCGTAGAGCATAGGAAATACCAGGGCCGGATTAGGCACGGACTATTATTTGTTTAAACTATACGTTGTTTCCTGATTTGGATTATAACGATGGCATCAAAAATATAGACGGTACCCATCTTCTACCTATAAAATAATAATATTTTTAGATTCTAAGTGGAGCAAAGAAACTTATGGTTTTACAATGACGTTTATTTATTGGTTAATTTTTTTTTATTCTGTGGACAGCTTTTCTACAAGAAATCTTGCTCTGATTTTAAATGTAGCACCTTTTCTGAAAGGATATCGGACTGAGGTAGTACTTTAGGGAGGTAATTTTTTGATTTTATAAAGAGTTTTTCTAATAAATGGAAACAACGTAGGAAAAATGAGAAAATAGGTAAAATATAAAACAAATATTGTTAAAGAAAATATATAATGTATATGTAACTATTTTACCATAATATGATCTATGCATTGTTGGCAAAGAAAATGTATCAACTGAATATTATAATATAATGTATATAATAATATTTTTAACATTATACCTATTCTTCCGATTTCTCTACGTTTTTCTCGAGTTTTCCCATTTATTGGGAAAACTGAAAAAATCAAAAAATTGTCTACTTCAAGTACTTCGCCAGTCCAATTTCCTTCAGAAAAAGTGCTGTCATTAAAAATCGGACCAAAATTTTTAGTAGAAAAGCTGTCCACAGAAAAAAACGAACATTATTGGAAAATCATTTGCTCTACTCAGAATCTAAAATAAAGTAAGCTTCTGAGTTTTCGTCTCGGTGATCTTGGTCGGTCAATAATAGTTAAAATAAATTCATACGTCAATAGGACCCATAGTTATTTAAGAAACATTATTGGAGTTATTCTTTCGGGTACCTATAAATATTTTACTTTTATTTTTAATATTCCAAATCAAATTACAATAATTACGCATGACAGCATGACAAATTTCCAATTTGGGTGATCAAGGCTAAGACCGATGCACGTATGTACAAAAATGTAAAACTTGCAGGTGCAAATGCAAAGAAGCAGAGCGACTATGTACAATAACACGGAAGCAGTATTATAATGTACATGCAACAATAAATGATATTAAAATTTTAAAAAATTACATATTTTTAATAATATAAATAAATATATATATATCACTATTAATTATATCATATCGACATAATCTATGTTGACCAATATACGAAAGACATTTTATAAAACGACCGGACATTGTATAAAATGCCCAAATGTTATACTTGGGCCATAACATATGTATTTAATACTGGTAATTCTAATTTAAAAACTGGATAAAAAAGATCCTTGGTCTTTAGATATCATGCTACAAGAATATAATATACGATTATCAATTATCTTATCAGTTATCAGTAAAATATTCAAATCATGACAAACATCTCTTATTAGTTTTTTGATATAATAACAAATAATAATACTGTTATTGTATCTTTGATTTACGTGTTATTCGTTTACTCTAATTTTATTTTTTTTTCACACATGTACTTGATTTTGTTTTAACAATAATAGGAATTTTCAAAACTATATGTTTAGTGTTCATCAACAACGTATATAAAGAAAAATATACCTCACGGGGTACAATAGGGTAGATATGATCTGTGATCGGAGAAAATCGGTGTACGTTTTACCTGTATATTACGCATACGATTAAATTAAAGTTTATACATTTTATTTATCACAGTAGATATTTTAAATTTGCGTGTGATTTAGTTTTTTTTGTTATTATAACATTATCAATTTAATTGCATAAAATAAAAAAAGACGTTCTCGGATAATAAAGTCTACCAATTTTACTATAGAGTACCTACTAAATAAAAATTACGTACAAAACTCGAAAAATTAAAACGTCTATGAATAGCTCAAAATTGGTTTAAATTTTTTGAAAATTCCACCACCTTTAAAAAAGACAAATATAAATTATCTGTCCAATGTACAAGTCTATACTAATATTTTCAACTGAATTACAACAATAACAAAATTAAAAAATAATAAATGCATTAATTTCGTAAATTCTCCGTTTTTCTTACATTTTATTCTGGTTTTTCCCATATATTATGAAAACCACTTGGAAAATCAAAAAATGACCTTCCAAAAGTACCATCTGGACAACATTTCCTTTGAGAAATGGTGCCGTGCGTATATATCTGAGCAAGATTTATGGTCGAATTTTTGTACACAGGATGAAAAAAAAAAAAGAAAAAAAAGATCTTAGTAAAACTAACACATTCTTCGCTACACTTAGAATTTAAAAGTATTACTATATTCACTTAAATAAGTGAATTGAATAGTATATTATTTTCTAGGACGTTTCCTTTTTCCCTCAGTTAAGGAACAATATAATTTTCAATTTCAGCATTATACTATTTACGTGCAATAAATTTAAACAAATCACCGAGAAAAATTAATTTTAAGACACTCGAAAATTAGGTCGGTAAAAGAAGCAACAATACCAATGAAAATATGGTAACAACCTTCCAAAAAATCTTCAAAATCATGATTTCATATAATAAAGTACGTTGTAGAGTACAATCTGAGAGAATGACCTTTACGAAAATGTATTAACCAATAACCGTTGTTAAATTTTATTTAAACACTATTTTTCGAATTCATTTATTGTCAACTGTTATTTTTAAAAGTATATAATTATATTAAGTATATTAATAGTCAAAACATGTATCTTTCCTATTTTTGTAATAATTTTATTATTTTGTGCCAATAATCTATTATGAATCAAAAACCAAATGAAATGTATCTATGTTTAGTGTTTTATTGTTTTTAAGCGTATATGTTGCACTTTTAGCAATTAAAGTGTTTATAATGACGTCTTTTAAGTGTTTTGTGGTTAATTTTAAGTTCTATAAATCCCGAATCTTGATACAATACAGTATATATATATAACATAATGAATGGATATTGTGCTGAGTGTCCATCTAGAATTTGTGCAATTAATGTATTCGATTAGTGTCAATAATTTTCCGATACCGAAAAGTGTAAGTGAGGAGAGGAGAGATTGGAGAAAATATCGAAACAAGAGATGGGGAAGGAGAAGATATTTTTGAAGTTAAAGCAGATTTAATTTGGTCATATAGTCTTCTAAGTCCAATAACATATATTTATATATATATATAAATAAATAAATATTATCCATGGTTCTATTTTTGTCCGAATTGAGAAGAATTTTTTTTTAAGAGAAAATGTTGAAATGTTTATGATAATAATAAATAAACTTATGTAAAATAGCTGTCCGCAGATATAGGTAACAGGTCAACCAATCAGACTGCGTTATGCGGACAGGGGTCGGTCACTATCTTACTGTATTTAGGCTCTCTACCAAACACCCGCAGTCAAAAGTTTCACGGTTCGAAATAAACTCGTTTATGTTGGGAAGTTACTCTAGGTAGGTGATAATATAAACAGAAAGTACCCAACTATACTAGTTTCCTACATAGGTCGCGAGTTTAAAGTCAAACTTAAAACCGATAAATCAAGAAGTACGTAAGTACTCACTCCACCGTGTACTGTATTAATCTAAATAGGTCAAAATCTAAAATTATATACCTTTACGCAATAATAATTATTTTATACCACATCCATCTACAAATACCATACATTTATTATTCAGTGTTTATTACCAGATTCGTAATCCGTCATTCCGACGAGTTCGTCCTCCGGTCTGTCGGACAAAAAGTTGTATACAGCGAGTGAGTGCAAGTGGCAATGTGTTTCCCGTTGTCGTGTTTACCGAGGAACGACCGTCAACACTCTATTTCAATGTCTACAATTATACTAAAATAATTATTCGGTCTGACAATTGGATTTAAAGTGCCATAGTAACGACGTAACTAAACCGGTCCGATCGATCGAAAACCGTAGGAATTATAAAACAAAAAATTATCGACGGATTTTTCAAAGGCGCCTTAAAACGGAATGGTTAACCGCGTGCGTTGGTTATCACATTCGCGTATAATTATTCGTCCGGCGAACGCGCGTGCACAACGACTACTAACCGCGGGGATGGTTTTTTGGCTCGGAAAGAAGGGAAAAACGATTAAAAAAAAATAAGTAAAGTTACCTACGACAACGAGCGCAACGTGTTTGTTGTCATGTTACCCGTCGAATATCAATAGCCCTGCGTCGCCTGACAGCTGGATTCGTATAAGACCCTTTTAGAGTACACAATACACAAGTGTAAATATACACAATACACATGTCTATAATATTTTATACGTTTCGTATTGATTATTATTTACACGGACAATCAAAATACGAATTATTTCCGGTTCAAATAATCGAGTCGAATTTACTTTGGTTATAAATTACAGCGAAGTTTAACGATAGAGGTATACCCAGTGACGCGATGAATACGCCTACATGCGTCATGGTGAAAACTGCAGGGTTTGTGGGTGTGGGTTAGTAGAAGAACGTCAACAATATGCATTTAGTATTTAGTAATAATCAATATTAATTAATTCTATTTACCTATAATCAACGATCGAATATTATGTAGATAAATGTATGATGGTTTTTTTCACGAAAAAACCGTAGATGGTCCATTATTAACTATTAAATTGGATCGATTTAAATCTTCAATGCCATTAGCATTAAAACTTACAGTACAATTTTGTGTTCGTTTTTACACCGCCAAACGTATGGTGAAGAATATAAACAGGGTGTAGAATTAGCTAGACTGAGGTATTTATCAAATTGAGTCCTTGAGTTTATCGTACATAGTTACTTATAGGTTCTTACCTACCTATGCTAATTTGTTTCCCTTGTTAATTGACCTAAGGACAGTTGACCAAGTGGATAAAAATAGAAAAAAAAGAATATAGGTACAGGGTGGGGGCTATTTTATGATGTAAATAGGATGGGTGCTCAAATATATTATGTTGTGTATAATTGTTCATAAATGTTTACCACGCCACTAAAATAGTGGGTATACCCATACTACGAAAAATCCCAAGCTATATTTAAACGACTGAATATTCATTTCATTGTGTACAATTAAAACCGAATAAAACAATTATTTAATAAAACGTATTTACTTTTTACCTATGTTTGCTTCTTTTTTGTTTTTTAAGATTAGCTGAAGTTACCATCACATTGTTTTTTGTTTTTTAGATACTGAGCGAAATGAAAACTGTATTGGTTTTACTATGATGTGTTTTTATTAATTTTCCTGTCTGTGAAAAACTTTTGTCCTAGAAATCTTACTCCAATCGTCATCAACCTTAGCATTTTTTTCTATAATCAAATTTTTTTTATTTGGTATTTAAATTTTCTACGTAGTTTTCTTAATAATTCAGGAAAACCAGGAATATTTACGCAACAACGATTTCCGTTATTTTCGATTTTGTTCCTTCTTGTAATTGGGTAAAGAATAATCGAAGAGATTTTACATTTTCATATAATACCTACTTATATACAAGCCCTTTATAAACGAGGTAAAATTTCAAAAACTTCTTGACGATTTCTGAGCTATTTATAGCTAATAGAAATTGTCGAGTTTTCTTTTAGTTTTTGTTTCGTTTTATGTCAATGAAATTTGTTTGGCTCAGTTAAAATATTTGAAACTTTATACGAGGTTCAATCATAAGTTGTTCTTGAGGATAAAAACAAGCTATTTATAAGCTATTTAGTCATTTAGGCCTAGAGAATTTATAAGATTTTCGATCTTTCTCTATCATATAATACTATATTCTCCGGTTCTCACTTCCCAAGACCGAGTAAGTTCCATTAAGAATTCTTGGACGCATAATTTACACATTTTAAATAGTCACGTTACACAATCGTTTCACTCGAATTTTTTAACGGATATTTTCTCCTGGATTCATTCAACGGCTTTCCATATTATGCATGTTTTCATCAATGTCAGTATGTCTGCAAGACTAATAAAGTACCGAGTTTGCGTTCGATGGGTAAGGAACGATAAAAAATGCATGTGACGCCAAGTGCGAATACTGCGAACCGCGTGTATGTTGCAGTCGTATCACCCGCGACAAATGTTATCCACCTGCCCGTTTTATAGCAGATATCAAAGTCCCTATATATAAGTCGGTAGAGAGACACTATAATAATATGCAGTTTACGTGACCTTTCGCGTGTCTGGAAAAAATAATATAATCTCGTCGAAACATTCGTGTATTACTGCGATAACAATATATTATTGTAGTGATACTACAGTGAAAAAATGTTTTTATTCCTAGAAAATAGTATTACAGCTATTTTGTGCAGGGCTATTTTTGAATTTTTTTTCAACTTTAAATTTTCAAATCGTCATCCAATTTTATGTTACACTTTTAAGAGTAGGTGGATGGGTTTAGAAATATTCTATACCGGTACACTCAAAACTGTGACACATAATTTGGTCTGAACTTGTACTTTGAACGATTTTCCACCTGATAGTGGCTGTATAGTTTATTTAAAATATATATATTTTATAATATTTTAGACTCTAAGTGTAGCAAAGAAAGTATTGATTTTACAAAGATTGTTTATTTTTATTTTTTTATTTTTGTTTACTTTGTACAAAAATGCTACCAGAAATCTTGCTCCGATGAATACGATGTAAACCCATTTCTGAAAAAAAATTTTTGTCCCCATTATCCTATGACGTTTTTTTTAAATTTTAATATTTGTTGTGATACGGTTAAACATATTCGTAGATACTTATACTTGAAATTTAGATAGAAAACTGTTGTACATTATATATTTACCTTTTCTATAGGAACATTTTCAAAACATTTGAGTTATTTTTAATCTTTTTATACAAATTTTAATTTTTTTGTTGAAATTTAGTTAAAAATATTTTGTATTGACTTTATGGACTAGAAATTTGAACAAAAAACTTATATTTACTTCTTCTAGACGTGGTAAAATTTTTAAAAAGATTTAAGCCATTTTTGAGTTATTTATAAACATTTTAATTTTGTAAATTTCGTACATAATTTTTATTCGGTAGGTACTCTGTGGTAAAATGTTCAGACTTGACAGAAATTCTTGGAAAATGAACAGGAGGTTTATTGAAAATCATACTTAGGGTTAAAAAAAAATTTCAAATAAATGGAGTATTTTTTTTTTATAAAGGAATTTTTATATCAAATTTTTCAAATATTTGAAATGTGGGTCATGTTAAATGTGGCAAAAAATATTTGTGGTCAAGATTTTATATAACTAATATCTGTAAAAAAAAAAACCAACTAAAATCAAATTTAATCAAAATCGTCGTATACTGTACCATATTGTACTATACCCATTCGTGATAAAATATCATTGATTTAAATTTATTAAAATATTATAATAATAATTTTATATAAACCTTAAAGCTGAGCAAATTGTTGGATTTTAATAACTGTGTTTACTGGCATACCTTGATTTAGTAGCCTCAATAAGTTAATATGAGATACTTAAAGAAAAAAATAACTCGTAACTATAGCTACTAGTAAAATATAGTTGATCAGTTGAACAACTACTTCAAAATAATTTTACTTCCAAAGTAAATTATACAATTCTTAAGTAAACTTTGAACATTGTTTTTTTTTTTTTTTTAACAAATTATGATTTTATTTAAAAAATGTATATTTTAATATATTATATTGTATAATATACACATTTTTAACTTATAACAACACCGGTATATTTAGATAATAGATAACACTGGGTAATGGGTATTATTAACATTATTATTTAAAATTATAATAACATTTAGAAATTTTAGAGTGATTTCACTATTTAAATGAAAATTTTGTTACGTAGTAGCTTATTGTTAGTATAATTTATGGAAGTATATTACAATCATTTGTGCATCTCTTGTGAGGTAGCAAAGTACATGGCGTTTGATTAGTGTTTTCCTATTCTTCCTCTATACGCATATTCAAAAGTGGAATATCTCGTCAACGAAATCAAAATTGTTAATACCAAAATTCACTTCGTCTAGTTAAGAAATGTATAATATAGGTTGCCATTTTAAAATCAAAAGTAGGTAGGAGTTTTCCACCCCCCTTCAAAAAAAGATAGTCAGGATCTTGATCATCAGATAGTCTTCTAAATTTCGTTTTACACTCAAATGTTCCATGAAATACTAATAAGATTAAAATAATAAAACTTAATAATAACAAAAAATAAACAAAGACGGTTGCCACACCGTTCTCTTTTTTTAAATATTTTAATTTTTTTAATCTAAAGAACTAGTTTTGTAATGTTTTGATTGGAACACGATTTTTAAGAGAAAGGTTGTTTACGGATAGAAAAAAAAATACACATCAATTGATTCTTCGATTCTCTCAGGATCTAAAATATTATACGGTGTAAGCAACGGCAATGATAATATTTAGCCGGTCACCTGAAAACCTGCAATAAAAATAAACAATCATTTTTTTTCCATCCCATTTTATAAAATAAAAATAAAATTCCGGTATAATTGCATCTTTCGATATAAACCAATGACGTGTGCAAATAATACGCCTTTTTATAACATGAAAAAAATGTCTATATTATTGAATATTCTTGTTGTTAAATTTCAAGAAAAAATACATGATATGTTACACGCGTTTACACATTTATAATACAGGATGATTTTTAATACAATTTTTTTATCACGGTCCATTGATTTTCTCGGAGGATTTCATGTAAATTCGATTTATGTTTATTTTCAATCATTATAATAATATGACGCAGGAAGAGTCAGCAACTGTTTAAAAGAAGGTCAAACATTACACCCGTAACCCCAAAAGAATGCGTGTATATTACGCCGTATTTTAACGAAATTTTTCGTTTGAAAATGTATTTGAATAGACAATAATTCCCTTTCGAATAAATTTCCGCGTCCTCTTTTCCTTAAATATTACACATATCAATATATGAGTGGTATTTATTTATCCGTAAAAAGTACACTAATAAGACGGTAGAGTGTGATTAATCTCGCGTCTAGACAGCAACATTTCAACGCATTATTTGGTTTATATTTAAATTGTATTATTTAATAGTGGATTAATGATTATCCGTAATCGGGGGCCGACAGATAGCCGTACAATCGTGCGAATTAAACGTAAATCAATATTAGGTTACCTGCAAAGAGGTCAATCATTATTGAATACTCGTAAAATTTTCATCGATATGGCGATCGTTCGAAAATTAATTAATTTTTTTCAATTTTACTGATTGTAAAATGGCATAACAATTTTAACGACAAAAATCTCGTTATTTTATCGTCACTATATTCCCTCCCGAGCAGTAACTAAATTCCCCCGGTTGGGAACTGCTGGTGTAAAGGACAATGTATATTGAGCATGAATCTAACAAAACGCAAAAACTTTCACAGCACTCGCTCAAGCTGCAGTAAATCACTGACAGTATAAAAATACTATAAAACCATATTCAAGAATAGGTCTGAAAACAGAACAGAATAACATTTTTAGAGACACTCCTTGTTTAAAATCTTTAGCCAAGCGCGTTATAAAACCAAGTCCTTTAAATGCTTTGCAGCACACAAAATCTATATGCAACTTGGGATCAAGATTATAAATAAATTTAAAGCCAAGATCCACAATAGAATTCAATTCACGCAAAATATTTGTTTCGTTAATTCTATAGTTGAAATCAATTGGTAGTTGTATCCTATGATACGTAAAGACTTTACATTTGGATAGATTAAGTGATAAATCCATTTTATTGGACCAAACAGAAAATCTGTCGATTTCAGCTTAAAGAGCATAAAGAGTTTAATGTCGTTAGCAAAACATAAAAAACCGCAATGGTGCAGAACATAATGGACACAGTTAATAAATTGGAGACAGGTGACCCCCTTGATATAAGAATAAGAGTACCATAATCTATTGAGTCAAAAGCATTCATAAAGTCATTATATATTACATCTACTTGGGATTATTTTTGAAAAGAATTAAAGATATGGCTAGAAAATAGAAGATTACAGGTGGAAGCAGAACGATCTGGACGAAAACCGTGCTGTTCTTCTATTAGAATGTTGTTTGTTGGTCTTTGAATTCCATTAAGGATTAGAGACTCAAATATTTTTGCAATATGAGATTGTATAGTTATCGGCCGATAATTCGAAATAAGACTATGAAACCCTGACTTGAAACAGGTGTAATTGAGTTAAGTTGAAACACATATGGGAACGAACCATTGTCTTAAGAATGCCCAAATAAGACCCATAGAGGATATACCAACATTTCCTTTAGTTCATATAAAAATATAATTGAAAGGCCATCAAGTCCAACAGAACTATCACTCCGTAAACTAGACAGCCTGTAGTAAACATAATCAACATTAAAGTGTGCATTGTTTGGTAGATGAAAGGTGGGTATTCCTAGTTGATCAATCGCGACGTCATTCTTTCTAGTGCTATAAACCAAGGAAATTAATTCAGAAAATACATTTGCAGTCATAAGCTCATCAGAGGAACTTACGTCATTAAAGGACATAACTTTAGGTATACTGTTATTGAACCGTTTATTTTTAATATATTTCCAAAATACGTCTTTATATTATCTTTGAGTTGTTTTTCGACATAAGTATTGTATTCATGAGAACAATTTTTAGATGTATATTTAAATTTTATCCGAAGATATAAGAATTAATTTAATGAAATATGTTTGATAAGGACTTAAATTTAGCGTGTGCTTTTTTTTAAGATATAATATTCTTTTTAGCTCTTTATTAAACCAAGGAGGATAAGTAGATTCGTAAAATTTACATTGAGGAACAAAATCGATAACTGATTTATGTAAACCACCATAAAAAATATTAACAGCTGTGTTAACATCGAGTGGGAGAAATGTAGTATACCAATCGAATGATGAGATAAATTGGCGATTATTACTTGAGTTAGCTCTACATAAATTGTAGTACAAATGACTGCGATCACAGCTAGGATAAGTAATAATAGAGGATAATTGTAAATTTAATACAAGGTGATATTTGTCAATAAACACAAATGGCTCACATGATTTTTCAACACTTAACTGTTTAATAGAGCAAAAGATTATATCCAAGATAGAATTAGAGGCATTAAGAAAATTAAAATTAATATCTAATTTAATGGACTAAATTTCGTTATCTTGCGTTCTAATTTTCATTGAACTTAGTCTGATATTTTACGATAAAGCATTCATCATATACTTATTTGTTTCGACATAAAACGATTTATCGACACAAGGCGATTTGTGTTCATATTTTGTTATGTTTTTAACTATAAACAGATTCCAGGTTTAAAATGTCGTTAAGTTATCTAATAGGTAAAACAATAATAACTAATAGTAACGTTATCATACAAATTGAACAGATCATTATATAATTTATCATCTATAGTGTAGCCTTTACGTACCCACCCAACACAAAATATTCAGAGATCTCTCAAAAACCGTTTCATACGATCGTTATTGTAGTAAAATTCTTGGTTTAATCATAATATATATATATAAAAAAAGACGACCTAGGATAAAAGGGACGAGTGCAGTCACTGTTATAGGTACTTTAATGTATACCTGGAAGCAATGATAAACCATTGCTTACGAAAAAACCATTCTAAGCGAAGTTCAGTTAATAGTGATGCTTTGTCAATAATATGTATGCCATATTATAGTTAAATAATTAAATAGGCTTTATATATTTTCTTTAATAATATTTGTTTAATGTTGTATTGTATTTCCCGTTTTTCTCGGTTTTCCCATGATTTTTCCTGTTTGTCACATTTTCTGAGAAACTGTTGGGAAAATCGAAAAATGACCTCCGTTAAGTACCTTTTTACACTGATTTCCTTTCAGAAAAGTTATTATATATAAAAATCTGAGCAAGATCTCCATAAGAAAATAAAAAAGAACAGAACAGAAAAAAAAAATTTAAGATCTTTGTAAAACCATATGCTTCTTCGTTCCTCTCAGAATCTAAAATCACTCTGTGTAGATTGAATTATTACACAAGAAAAAATGGCTATTACAGGAAATAAAAAATGTCTACATGCGAATAAAATACTAGATAATATATGTTAACGATGACGATATATCAAATTTTGACATGCAAAATGTTTTAAGCGGTATTTTATTTATTGAAAGACGAACCCGTGGGTGGGGGGGGATATAATACCTATCTAATGGATCCGGGTCAAAATTCCGACGGTTAAAATGACGACATAGTGTAAATCCAGTGATGAAAATGTCGTTAAAATGTCGTCGACTGTCTCGCATTCTCATATTGAGTATTTGTTAGGATGGCCAGGTCCATGATACGTGTTACCTTAGAGAATTCTATGGTATTATCTGTTGGGATTTTGGCACTGCCAGAATTTTAACCCTATATGGATTTCAAAGGCTTCTCATTCTTAGTATTTATTTATTAATATCTTGGAAATTTAATATTGAAAGTCGATTTTTTCACGATAACCGTATGTATGTACGTATGTATGTGTGCATGTATGTATGTATGTATGTATGTATGTATGTATGTATGTGTGCATGTATTATATTATATAATATATAAAATATGTGAAAATTATATATTTTCGAGATTCCTCAGACCTATACGTGCGTTATAAGTTAAATACAATGTAAATGTCTATTGTTTTTGTTAAAATAACATATGTACATGCGTAATAATAATATATTGACATGTATTTACTTATATAATACTTGCGAGTGTTATTATTATTACAATATCAAATACCCCAAATAGAAACTCGGATAATTAAAATGTGTTCTTTACCGAGAAATAAAATTCAGTATGATCTACCTACATAATAATAACGAAAAAAAATACTACGTTTTTATTTTTTTTGGTTTTTAATATTTTCCTTTTTGCGTGTATCTATCTACGATTATTTTTTTTTTATGTATTTCAATTATTTTAATGTATTCGTATCTATACCTATTATTTTTTTTAATTTTTTTTTTGTATAGCTCTTCTTAGTTCTCTTATAATATTATATACAAGTAATGAGAGTATATATGAGTATTATATAGATTTTAATACTCACCGACTTTTATACAAAGCTGGATTAGTTAACCAATTTTTTTAATTAGTTCAAATTAATATGCCCTAAAAAAATAAAAACAGCCAAAATAAAGTCACTTTTAATGTATAAAGTAATAATCAGAGTAACCAATAACTTAAGTTAAACATTTTCCGGGAATATATAACTTGACAAAAGTAAAAAGTAAAAAGTTAATTTTTTCAAATTTACCTTTACTTATACACCAATAAAAGTGTTTAGTACTCTAAATATTTAAACTTTTTTAGACTGTGTATATCTCATAACCTGCATAGGCAGCATTCTGGTCCTGTTATGAGGTTATGACTTTGAAATAACTAAAGTTTTAACAAAATAACTGAGTTAAGTTAAAATTATTTAATGGGAAAACAAATTATATTATTTATTTATATATTTTATTAAATACCCCAACAGGGTACAAACAAATTTAAACAAAGACTTAGAAGTGTAAAAAAAAAGCAGTCCTAGGATAATAGGGACGGATGCAGCCACTGTTATTGGTAATTTGATGTATACCTGTAAGCAACGATAAACCACTAAACGAAAAAACGATTCTTAGCGGAATTCAGTTGATAGTGATGCTTTGTCAATAATATATATGTCATATTTTGATAAAATAATTATATAGGCATTATATATTCTCTTTAATAGTATTAATCATCAGTATGCTGTTATGAAAACATGTAACATCAGAACTGAACGTTAATTATTGAATTATTTTTGTTGATTTACGGGTTGCCTTGGTGCTAAGTATGAAATTTAAAAAAAGTATTGAGATTTTCATATAAACATACTGTTTAAATTTATGAAATTTCAGGCTAATTTTTCAAACATTTTCTTTCATAAAAACCTTGTCTTAATAATTACAAATACAACCACAAAAAAAATCAGCCAAATCTGTCTCTATTTTCAAATTATAGCGTCAACAACAAAATTTAGATTCATTTTTATATACACATATAGATTATAGGTATTTTAATGTCAATTCTTTATTAGTTAATGTTTTGCTATTGCTAGATAATTTTATAAATAGTAATAATAATAGTTTTCTCATGAATTTTTTGTTATTTCATCCGTATCACCAAGGTTTAACTCATGGTTAAACAAAAATAAATAAATAAATAATAATATATTCGTACTAAAAATACCCGAAAACCCCTATTTTATCATTAAATTTTTAAAAAACTTTCTTCGAGGATATTTACGTCCATCCTATTTACGTCTTAGGATAGTTATCTGTTTACCAAATTACAGCCCGATCCGTTCAATTGTTTTAGCTAGTCGATGATGAATCAGTCAGTCAATCCGGACATGTTATCTATATAAACATCTATGTATAAAATAACATATACCGATTGACTGACTGACTGATTCATCATTGTTTAGTCAAAATAATTGAACGGGCTGAAATTTGGTATGCAGACAGCTATTGCGATGTAATCATCTGCTACAAAAAGATTTTGAAAATTCAACTCCTAAAGGGGTATTTTGGTAAGATAAGTGTTTCAGATATTTTTAGTACGAATATCTATTTATTAGTTAATTTATTTTTATTTATTTGTGGGTTACCTTGGTGACATGGATGACAATTTGGTTTTCATAGACAATAAATTATTAGGTATTATCATTATAATTATAACTATAACTAACATTATTTTCTAGCAATAGCAAAGCATTGCCGAGTCAGCTAGTTTCATATAAAATAGTTTACCCAAAAGGAATCAATAAGTTTAATATCGTATGTATTAATAGTATAATATTGTCATAATAACTTACAGTTGTAAATATTATTTTACTACCTCTACCTATAATACACCCCTAAATAAATATTTAATTTTTCGGGTTTGGCCGAAAACGGACGATTATTAAATTTAGTCGAATACAGTTGTCATAATAACAATATTATACATATCTACTCTACCCTCTATCGATAATGCACATAGGTAATATTTGTAGAAGCATTTCCACGTAAAGTTTGTATTTACCTTCTACAAGTAAAGTCATAGGGATCACAGGTTGCGCTACGGTCTATATAATCGATAACATATATTTGATTATATCAGTCTACACTAGGACTTTGGACTTTTGCTCTTAAAATTCACAAAAGGAACTTAAAAACGTCACAAAAGCTTGAAAGAAAACATTTGAAAAAAATATTATAAAAATAAATGAAAGAAAAGTTCAATGGTCCCCTGTCTAATGACTTTAAATTATTGAATACAATTTTCTAACTCGACACAAGAAGTTACAAAGAGTAATTTTGTTTAAATACAATTGTAAGTATTATAAAAAAAGATATACATGCTTCGTACAACGGATAGGACACTATTGTAAGTAGGATTGTAGGTATTATATTTGTACACAACGATTAATAATAAAATGCTAACGAAATACAATTCGGAGTAGAGTTCGGTCAATAGTATTGCTTTTTCAGGATTATTCGTTTTCACAACAACGATTATTTAAAAAGACATCCTAGGATAATGGGCACGAGTATAGTTATTATTATAGGTAATTTAATGTATACCTGTAAGCAACGAGTAAAACATAGCTCCCGGTTTTCCTGTTTTTTCCCAGTTTTTTAAATTTGTTGAGAAAACTCTTGAGAAAATCGAAAAATGAAATATCTAAGGCACCTCTACACACTGATTTCCTTCCAGAAAAATGACTACACGTAAAAATCGGAGCAAATCCTTTGGTAGAAAAGTTGTCCATAGAAAAAAAAATAAACATCTCTGTAAAGCCGTAAGATTCTTCGCTCCACTCAGAATCTAAAAAAATATTAAAACAAATAATAATAACAATAACAAAAAATAAATAAAAATAGTTGCCAATGATTACCTTTCTGATTTTGAGTGTAGCGAAGAATTTTCTTATTTTTTTACTAAGATGTTTATTTTTTTTTTTACACTGTGTACTTAAATTTTACCAAAAATTTTGCTCCGTTATTTAAAAAAAAAAAAAATTATGTCCAGATGATAATTTTGCGAAATCATTTTTTGATTTTCGATGCGGTTTTCATAATATCTGGGAAAAACCAGGATAAAATGTAACGGGAAATTTAATAATATAATGCTTTTATTATTTTTCAATTTTATTATTTGTTGTAATTTAGTTTAAAATATTCGTAGAGATTAGAAATTTTGAAAGAAAATTTATATTTGATTTTTCTAAAAATGGTAAAATGTTCGCAATATTTGAGCCATTTCTAAGCATTTTATAAAAGCTTTAATATTTTTGTTGAAATTCTGTTAAAAATTTTCGTATCGACTCTATGAATTTATTAATGAAAAATATATAAATATATGAGAAATTCGCCCAGAAATGGATATATATCGTAGCTAGTATCCGTAATTTGGAAAAAAAAAAAAATAAAAATCTCTGACCTGTCCCTTAATTTCAGTGGCTATACTCTCAGATTCTGGGTAATCAATTATACAATCTCACCAATATTTTCTAGCGCAATAACCATATTGATGCTTTACGAAGAAACAACCCCCCCCCCTCCTCGCTATCTTAAATCAGGTGGTCTCGGGTTTGCATCGGTGACGATTGATTTTCCGACCATAATGGTATTTCCTCTGACGGGTCCTATATACTATACTAATCAATTAGTCGTCGTCATCAATAAAGTGGGCCGGTAGATTCCCGAACGGACACATCACGTCCGGCCATATTAATATAACCTATAGGTTCAATATAGCGATCGGTCAAATTATTCTCGAATCTGACGGAATTTCTGTACCCGTAAACTACTTAAAAACGCTAGAATATTGAATATATATATAATATAACTATTATATGGCTGTATAATAATAATTGATTGCGGTTTTCTAGCGACGCATAATAGATTTTTTCATAAAAAATCCGTCGGAAAATTGTGATGTAGTATGCTTATTATTGTTTGTTTGTTGTTCAACCAGAAAGAAGATATTATATTATTTAAGTAAACGATTTTTATTATTTGTAGGGCTCGTTAGACCCGTAGCATCCTGTTTAAATATCTCTCGTCTCTATGAAATATTCGTAAAATGTATCGTGAAAAACTTAGAGTTATACGCGATGGTTTGAAGTTCCGTTTTTACCGCATAATTTACTAAAAACAATATTAGCTTAATCTGTGAGATCCGTAGGTGGTTATAAAGTAGTAAAACTATTCTCTACCCGCGAGAATATGGCGAAGATCATATTGAAATGTAACCAAAATTGTATACTTCAACCTTCCAATAAAGAAATTCTAATTCCCAAATTGAATGTTTTTTGATCTACGGGGAGTCTCTAAAAGTTTCCGAATAAATTGGTAAAAAAATATATGCATTTGATACAATTCGGTGAAATATGTGCTGTTTTCGATAGAACAAAAATTTGGGTAATGTCCGAATTTTGAGTAAAACATTCCACTAGGAAAACGTATTACTCAAATTGTTATTATTATTTTTACATCGTAGGCAATGATGTCGCATATGGTTTGCCTCGAAGAGCAAAGAAAAAACTCCCGGAAGGGGAGGTACATTAAATATATATAGTGCTATTATCCATCAAACTACCCTTCATTCCTGCAGTCCGTCACCCATCGTCGCTCTGAAACCGTCTGTTTCGACGACGTACGTTAAAAAGCACTTTATTATATATATCATCGCATAATACACGCCTAATCTAATTTTTTTAATAAGAATAAAAAAAAAAAAAAAATACGAAACTATCGAAATGTCTAATAATATATAGGTACACCCACTGAAGTTTGGGGTTTCACAGTATAAATGGTATCATCAAAAGAAATTCTATTTTAATAAATAATAACGGCGGCCATCATGACTGCCCATAAAATATTAAAACGATATACTTACCTTACATTAGATTATATTACACGATTTATTATTATAAAATCCCACGGTACACAAATATATGTACGAAAATCGATAGAAATACGATATTTTTGTATTGACATTAATAAAAAAGACGTTATAGGATATCGGGGACGGGTGCAGTCACTGTTATAGGTAATTTAATGTATATCTGTAAGCAACAATAAACCATTGCTTACGGAAAAACGATTTTGAGCAGAGTTCAGTTGATAGTGATGCTTTGTCAACAATATACATTTATAGTATAGTAAAATAATTGCATAGGCTTTCTATATTTTCTTTAATAATATTTGTTTAATGAGGTACTAATTTTCCCACGTTTTTCCCGGTTTCCCCGTGTTTTATCCAAGTTTTTTACATTTGCCTGGAAAATTCTCGGGAAAATCGAAAAATGACCTCCCTTAAGTACTTCCTCACACGGATTTCCTTTCAGAAAATATACTACACACAAAAACCTGAGCAAGTCTTCTGGTAGAAAAATTGCACACAGATAAAAAAAAAAAAAATAAACATCTTTGTAAAATCATTAGCTTCTTCGATGCATTCAAAATCTAAAATGTAACGACTATAAAATATCCACTTTCAAATAAATAATTGAATAACGGTTAGAGTGTCAAAGGATTAGGTCTGGCAAAGACGGGTAATGTAACGAAATTATTAGAACAAACGTTATTATGTACGTAGACGGCTGAGATCTTTGTTGCAGAATTCGTAATCTTACTAATATATTATACACCCAAAACATACGTACCAATGGAATAATAATGATATTTTACCGCCGGCGGTCCAGGCAAAATTATTAACGAGTATAGGTTTAATAAACAACGTATCCTGTATTATCATATATATTACGTATATATTATCGTGTAAGATGTTCGGAACAAACGATTCCTTTTAGCCCCCCCCACGATTATTTCCGACCGACTATCGCTTGTATGTCCCTTGGTATATAACAATATTATTATTATGATAATCCTTTAAATTTTCTATTCGAGCTTGATTTATATATTATTTAAGATCAAAACGAACGTCGTTTGTGTTATGTTAAAATATTTGATGATGATATTGTCATTAGCACAGATTAATGTATGTAACTGGAATCTTATTGATTTTATTGGTTACGTATCGTGTACGTTTCCTAACAAAATTAAAATGTCGGTTCTAGTTCAAATTATTTGAATATCGGTTCCGTTTGCGCGATTTGTCTATTTCCTATAGCTTCTAAATAATTTTTACTAATTCACCCCACCTCATCCTTGGCCATCCCTGTTCCGGCACTGTCCGTAGTATTGGGTTTGGAATTCCCACAGTCTTAATTTTTTTGAGAACCTAATATTCTTTTCACCAAACGTTTTCTGTAGCTCTCTGTTTTTTCCTCGTCCCCACTTTTCTGTTTAAATTTTCAAATATATTTTTTTTTTGTGTAAACGTTCCCCACGAGTATTTCCGAGCATTTCCCGGTTCAGAAACTATATCAAAAAACCCGAGCCACGCGTCGGAGAGAATAATAATTGGATTACATTCCACAACAATCTGTTTATTTTTTCATTACCTAGACTGTGGTGCTATAAATAAAGAATAGATTTTCCCTCTCAATCTGGAAACAAAAATGTCATTTTTCATCGCAATTCTATCATATAATAATAGGTAACTATTATAGTCTTACGTTATTAATGTTAGACGATCAATAATTTGACAAGCTATTAATTTTATAAATTGGAATTTTGATATTTTATGTACCTACCACCTACCTACTTACATAACTAGTCTTAATGTTAGTCTATCGAGTCTAAGTCTTAATTCGATTAATATTTGTCTCAATGAAACATGTATACGTTAATTAATTAATCAATTAATGGTAATCGTTTTACAGACTTGAATATAATAACAAACTAACTAGTAAATTAGAAAAACATGGAATAGAAAAATTCTATAATAAAATACGCCATAGATAAAACCATTGTTTTAAATTTTGTTTTCGTATTAAAGCGTGGATGAATTTCCAATTCAACATTGGTGTATGGTAAAGTTATTAGATGATAAAAAAGAGCTGATACAGCGCATGTATGCACCACTATTGTAGGTGAAAAGTTAGAAAGATAGGATATAGAGGGGAATTTAATATTTATATACAAGCAAAGGTTAATTATTTTTAATTAAAAACGATTCTGAGCGAAACTGAGTCAGTTCGATCAATTATTCTTTTTTAACACATTGTATGACTTTTAATGAACCTTCTGTTAAATTTTAAGCATTTCTGTTAAGTCTAACAATTTTACTACAGAATACCTAGCGAATAAAAATTATGTAAAAAACTAGCAAAATCAATATTTTAATAAAAAGCTCGAAAGTAAAAGTGGCACAAATGTTTTTAAAATATACCCACGTCTATAAAGGCTATAACATAATAGTATTTTGTAAAAATGTTTTTACAATTATTTTTAACTGAATTACAAAAAATAATTTATGCCATAAGTCCATTTTCCCCCTGTATTTCTCAATTATTCAGAAAACCTGAAAATGAGGCTTTTACATACTAAAAGAGAACAATTTTTTCCTTAAATTTTGGTGCATGATCACTGCAGGTAGAAATACATAATCGAAATAACGAAATTTTTAATTCCGTAAATTTGTCAATTTTTATTTTACAATATTTGATTGGTTTTCTTAGTTATTACGAAAACCGCTTGAGAATCGAAATGAACTCTTCATTGTATCCACCAGAACAAAAATTTAATACAAACGGTTTCTTCTAATTTTTTGATTAGAATATGATTTCAGGACTATTGGTAGACAAATTGTTTGGATAATAAAAAAAGAAAAAAAAAAGAGGACAAATCATAGTAAAACCAATAAATTCCTCGCTACGTATACAATCCGATTAGTATCGTAACCTGACCTAATAACCTCGTTGTAGAATTGATAAAAATAATCGGTAGGATTTTCATTGTGTTTATTTTTATTTTTATGTTAAAACGCTAGAGGTTACGTGAATTTGTGATTTTTTATATATTTCACTACTTCAATGTATCTGTGACTTCTTATATTTGTGGTGGTTTTCGTATAAGACCCTTCTGAAATTTCAATCTTTGGCCTTTTTATTATAATATAAAATATGAATATCGTTTTATATTATAATAATATTACAACCGATGCGGTATAGAAAATCCGGAATAATACGATTAATATCTAGGTACCGTATGACGAAACCTTTGATGTCCTATATAATATAAAATATTTTATAATTAAATCAAACCATGTGAGTGAAAAGCCACACAAAAAGAAGAGCTAATGTTGCTGATGGGGTGTTGGTACATTTTAGTGAGGGAAGTTAAGAAGTTAAGATACATAGACTCAAATACTCAATTGGTACTTACACTCGAAGATAAACTATTCCTAACGAAAAATAATTCTGAGCGAAGTTTGGTTATACACAATAACAGTATATTTGTCATTCAACGTAAGCAAGGTATACTCGTACACTGCAGATGGTTTAATTATAATTGTTATACGGGGTGATCAATTTTTCATAAAACACACACTATCTCCGAAAGTGTTAACTTTTTTCGATATTTGTTCACACTATATTTGATCATTCCACATCCCTTCACATATAATCCCCTTTTAAAAACTAACATATTTTGAAATATCGTATTTTTTATGGTTTTAGTCAAAATTTTAACTTGAAGGCTTATTAAAAAAATAATAAAAAGATTCAATCTTACCAGCTTCTTGCTGCACCCTTTTACGCTACTCTGCGTTGCATTCATTCCAAACGAGCTTGTCGAGAGTAATTTATAGGTTTATGCAATTCTTTCGAAGCAAACAAAGGCAAACTCACCCGTATAGAGACGGCGACGGCGTACATATTATGACATTATGACATTGAAAACACATTGAAAATCAAACTACACAATAAATAATGACCTAGAGGCCGAACTGCTGAAAAATTCCATAAATGTTTAAATATCTTTTTCATTATACTTAGAATATAATACATCGAAATATATACCTAAACGTAAAAATCGTTAAAAACTTGTAAATTCGTGATACGGCCAGTCACGCTGTATGACGTCATATCGCGTATATTTTACGAATGAATAACATTACACGAATGATTCGGCGATATTATTATTTCCTAATAATATAATGTATGTTTCAACGATTGCGAAACATCGACTGTGAAATGTAATGTCGTTTATTATTATTCGATTTAGCGTATATTTTTTGGTTATAAATCAATTTCGAATTAAGAATGGGCCGACACGACTTATCACCGATATCCGATATTCCGCGATGTACGCTGTATGATTAACGTTCATTTTATATAGGGATCCGTTCAATTCCTTGTCCATTTTGTGTAAAAAAAAAAATTCGTTCGTTTAATATGAAAAATAACTCATTCTTATAAAAAAAAACCAGCATAATAATATTATGTATTTATGTAATTGAGTTTGTGTACCGGGTTCTTCGCTCGGTACTGACTTTTCGTTGTTAGTTTTATTTATTCTCGTGACAGAAAACTTCCCTAGCTATAATGAATTATAGTATCCGATTTAGAAAAAATATTATTGATATCAGAATACTTACTTGTGTGTCAACATAAATTACATTAGCTGTTTGGAAACGACTCGTCTATTTGATCAAAATATTTATAAACGAAATTTTTCTCCCAAATGTCTTAGAATCACAGAAGAATAAATAGAACATTTTACATTTTATAACATTAACGTTCCTTTTCCTCAAAATAAGAAATTAATTTACGTTCATGTTCCTTTAAAAATAATGGAATCAATTCCTACATTAGTTAATTTAAAAAGAAATATATTATCAACACTATTATATCAACACTGGATATAATATGATACCGATATAAAACCGATACCCGAAATTTTAAATCGTAAGCTACGAGTCAATATTAAAATTAATCGATGTATTGTTGAATTTGTCAATTTTGTTTTTAATACTTTTTTTTCCTATTTCAGAGACGTTATAGATATTCCCCCCTCCACCGAAAATATTGTTTTTCAAAAAAAACCCGATAACACCGGTATCGAGTTTCGGTTTATGGGCTTGCCCTTATTTAAAACAAGTAGGTACATCGATAACAGTTTTTATCGTTTCGACAAAAGTTTAAATTGTATAGTAATTTTATGCAGACAGGTAGATCGTATTAATATATATATATAAAGGAAATTTGAAATTCATTAAAAATGTATCCGGATCATGAGGTCGATTCAAGAAATATTTTTCTGTATTAACCTAACTTTACCCAAGGGGGTCATCTCAGTCCACTTTTATTTATTATTTTCATCAACAGTATCAATAGATATTTTGCCGTCTCTAAAGTCCTCATGTTTGCCGATGACATCAAAATTGTTCTTAAAATATCTTTTCCCTTTGACTGCCTTCAAATATAATCTAATCTCGGTCCTTTATGTGTGTAAACCCAATATGTAGGTCTACTCCTTTATCTTAGTAAATTTCATATTATGACTTAGTAAAAAGCGTTTTCCTCATGTCCATCCGTACACTTACGAAATAGCTCTCCTCTTAATCACGTATTCGGCGTCTAAGATCTAAGGTTCTATCATACTCTCACTCTTTCTTTTGATCATCATATTAACATATTAATAATTAATAGTGCTTTAAAAGTACTAGGCATTATAAATCGCAATACTAAAACATTTACGTCCATCATTTGTCTCCGTTCCCTCTACTTCTTTTTAGTCAGCTCTATATAAGAATACGGTATAGCTGTGTGATATCCATTTTTAGTCAAGAACCAATTTTGTATAAAGAAGGTACAAAACCGATTTCTTTCGTATGCTGCTTTTTTTCCAAATATTGCTCACCCACCCCATGACTATTCTTCAATTAACTGATCTCTAAATGTTCTTAAAGTGTAAGAACGGAAAGAGTCGTAGTGATGTGGACAAAAATTTTCTTTTATTTTTGCTAAATGGCTCAATCGATGATTCTGATCTATCTTCCATCTTTTTTCGTATCCCTTTCTATTCTACAAGAGACCACTCATTGTTCCGTGTCCCTTATCACCACACGAACTACAACCATAACCAACCAATTGACAAAATGCTACGTTTCCATAAATCCCTTTAACCTCTACCTCAGTTTTATTCGCCTTATTCGCACCATAACTTACTATTTATATGTAAAATGCTGTGTTTATTTTATTGTTAAATATTTGTATTTTTGCTTTTTTCATTATATTATTATTATTACTAAGCTAATCAAACCAAACCCATCTGTCAAAAAATAACTTGTCAATCACTGTATTATGTGTCTATTTAACTGCCGGACTGGCGCGATAATTAATTAAATAAATAAATAAGTACTTATACTTGTATATAGGTAGGCTATTCGAGTTAATTGTTTTGACATTGGAATTTTTGGCCTAACTTTGAATAATAATATACCTGCCCGCCTTTAAATGATTAATTTCCCAGGTAAAACCTGGTAAAAATGTGTAAATGTACACCCAGCACCGCATTATAATTAAAAAAGTCTAAAAGTTAAATAATTCCCCAACAATATATCACTGGAACCATCGAAAAAACATGGCGTTAGAAAAGTTTTTTTTTTTAACCGAACGATTTTCGGGACGCCATTTACATTTCTATGACGAACCGTGGTTAAAGTGGTAAAAACTACAAGGGGAGCTCTATATGTGCCCTGCCGTAGCCAGAACTATTTATTTTTGGTGGGAGGGTTTCAATATTTTATTCCTAGGGCTAGGGTTCTACCTACTTTTTACAATATAGTAAGTTGGTTCATACAATCATATTTAAGAATATTAAATTCAAAAACTCCCATAATATTTTCTTTACCACGCTACCAGTGGAGTTATAATATTATATTTTGTATTGTTTGTCGTCATTTAATATCGTGTTTTTTTTTTTTTTTTTAAAAAAAGAAGATATTTTAATACCTACCCAAACATTTTTCTTTACTTTTCAATTTAGTCATAGACTAATACATTATCATTACACTATAAATATAAACTAGGTCAAATTAATAACTGTAAAAATGACTGAAAATAACAATTTTAGTACACTTGATAGTAAGAATAAAAAATAAAAATATAAATAAATAATAAATAATTAAACAATTGTTTATAGTTTAAAATCCAAGGGTCTTAATTTTTTTGAAGTAAACATATTTATTATTTCTTCAGAAACAATATGTACCTCTGTATGGATATTCATCAGAGCTAAACTATATAGACTCGTTTCACCTGTAGATTTCCTAAAATAAGGCTTTATTCTTTTTAAAGTAGAAAAATATCTTTCGACAAGAAGAGTTGATACTGATAATGTTGATAAGATTTTTAAAAATACGTCATAGGATTTTGGGGACGAGTGTAGTCACTGTTATAGGTAATTTATGTATAACTGTAAGCAATAACGGTAAACCATTACTTACAAAAAAACGATTCTGAGCGGAGTTCAGTTGATGCTTTGTCAGACATATATATGTCATATTATAGTAAAATAATCAAATAGGTTTTATATATTTTCTTTAATAAGGTTTGTTTAATGTTGTACCGATTTTTTCAGTTTCCCTACGTTTTCCCATGTTTTATCTTGGTTTTTCACATTTACTGGAAAAACTAAAAATTACCTCTTTAAAGTACCTCTAAAGTGAAATTTCTTTTTAGAAAAATTGCTTTTATTATAAGTTGAAGCAAAATTGCTGATTGAAAAGTTGTGCACTGGAAAAAAAAAAATTTGTAATATTTTACTAATATATTTCGTACAATTTCCTGTTTTACCTCAGTTTTTTTTTTCGGATTTTCACATGATGAAAAATCTCTTAATAAAATCGAAATAAGATCTCTTTAAAGTACTTCTATAACGCAATTTTTTGTAGGTACAATATTCGAATGATAGAAACAAGAAACGAGTAACAATTCGTACCCGCGACAGGCGAATAAATACAATTACCAATTTGATATTTCGGGGAGGGAGACTTAAGCCTTTAAGCCCATCCTCCTATCTGTGGCAAAATATCCCTCTAGAATATATAGATATAATAAATATCTATACATACCCTGCTATGCATGCACTAAACATTTAGGGACGTCCCTAACTTAATAAAGTAAAACAGAGTCTGATTACAATATGTATCATCCAGAGGTTCTCAATCTTTTTAGGACCACGACCCGAATTTTCCTCTAAAATCTATCGTGACTCTCACAGTTTCAATTTTCAGATAGTAGTTTATGAAAAAAACTGGAAATATCAAAAAACAACTTCTTAAAAGTATCACACCAGTAAGATTTTCTTTCGGAAGAAGTTCTACACTGAAAAATTGAGCAAAATTGCTTGAAGAAAAGTTGTTCAGAGATAAAAATTAAAAAAGAGCTGATACTGAGGATGGAAGTGGCGACTGTCGTAGGTGAAAAGTTGGGATGGTAGGATATATAGGATTATTTTATTTATATCTGTAAGAAATGATAAACCATTGCTTGACAAAAGACGATCCTTAACGCAGTTCAGTAATACATAATTTGAAGTGTGGTAATTTTTTTTGCGATTTTCGTTTAAATTTGATTTCAAAACATTTATAAAAAAAAAAAAAGTCGTCCGATGATTTTGGAAATTTTACCACGTCTAGAAAAATCTAATATTAGTATTAATATCAAGTTTCAAATCTTTACGTGTTTTCAAAACTGAATTATAGCAAAAATCTCCCAAAAATTAAAATTCCTTAAAAGCTTATAAGTTTTAGCGTCGATACCGTAAGAAAGTAAATCAAAAATACAATAAAAAAAGGTACCTTGTGATTATTTTATTAAATCATTTTTTCTGGTAGAAAACGTCGTCCGTGTTTTTATAAAATAATGAAATCGTGAAACTGTACTTTTTCCCAAGTTTTTTCTCACTTAAGTACTTTAATTTAAAAAACGGCGTGGAAAATCAAAAAAATGACCCGTTAAAAGTAAAATCTAGATAACTTAATCTTTTAAAAAAAGTGCTACACTTATATATTGAAGCAAGTTTACTAGGAAAAAACGTGTTCACAGACTAGAATAAAAAAAAATGAAGAAGAAGAAATATTAAAAGTACAGCATTGTAAAATCAACGCGTTTTTTACTCCCTCAGAATCTAAAAACATATATTTCTTGGAAAAAAAAAAATCAAAACAATGTTCGCGACCCATCAACAATTGTCTTGGGACTCACCAGCGGGTCGCGACTCACGGTTTGAGAAACGCTGGTATAATCCAAAAGGTATTAAAGACTTTATCTTTAATAAAACTAGTTTGAGTTTTTAAAATCGCATTAAAAGTATCCCACAGTTAATAACTAAAACGTCCCTCGAGACTTTGAAGACTGAAACTAAAAGGGGCAGATAATATTTTAGAAGAAAGATAGTTCGTCCCTCCGTTTTAACTACTAATGATGAGTAACGATGGACGGTAAACGTACGAATTTCGCAACAAATACAACTCCCTCTTTCATATGTCATATCATGGTAAAATAACTAAATAGGAAATATATATTTTATTTAATAATATTTGATTAATATTGTGCCTATTTTTCCGTTATTCCTAGGGAAAAACCTTAAGAAAATTAAAAAATGATTTCCCTAATGTACCTCTCCAATCCGATAACTTTTCAGAAAAGTGCTTTCACTGTAAATCGGATCAAAATTGCAGGTTGAAATATTGTTCACAGCAAAAAAATAAAATAGACATCATTTCAAAACCAATACATTCCTTGATCCATTAAAAATCTAAAAGATGGATATATTTCGCACGATGGGTGTGCTATTGTTGTAGGTGAAATGTTAGGAAGGTAGGATATAAAGGGGAATATCTTGTATATCTGTAAATAGCGATTAATCTTTGCAAGCGAAAAAAGATTCTAAAGTTGATTTCGGTAATTGGTTGTATGTTTTAAAAGGCCATAACACGTACCTATTTACGGTTTGAAAATAATACATTTCGTAAATTTTCCGTTTTTCCTACGTTTTTTCCGATTTATTATGAAAACCCCTGTGAAAGTTAAAAAATGATCTGCTCAGAATCTAATCTAAAAATATTCATCTTTATCGTATTAATAATATAATTATATTTTTATGATATTATTATATTCGCCCAAACTTAAAACAGTTGTTTATTGCTCACTGCAGCAAATACCTTAATCTTTATTTGTTTTTCTTTTACATAGTCATTGACAGATAGATAGCAATTTCATTGCTGTCAAATATGACAGATATAATATACAAGGTGGTCAGAATTTTGGTACAAAAATTTTCTTTGATAAATAAACAAAATATATATTACACAATTTGTTGATTTGTAAATATCCTAAAATACATTTTTTTTTTTTTTTGGGGGAGGGGTCAGATAGTGGTAAATTTTTGATATTTAAATGAGAAGCTATATTCGAAATTATATGTATAGATTGAGTATGTTATTTTAAATACATTTTGTAGTTAAAATTTTTGATTTTCATAAATTCGTTGACGAGATATTCCAATTTTTAGTTTAGTTAGGGGGAAAGTATTGGAACACTTATACACTTGTATGGTGGTACGGTACGGTGCGCTGTTTGATTAGCGTTCCACTACTCTTCCCTTACCAAAACTAAAAAAGTGGAATATTTTGTCAACGAGTTGACGGAAATCAAAAATCTCAATCTTAATATTTATTTAAACTAACGTTCAATCTATGTATGCAATTTTGAATATAAGTTCTCGTTTGAATTTCAAAAGTTTACTTCCAACCCTCCCCTACCAAAAAAAATATACAAATTATTTTGGATGTTTACAAATCGAAAAACTTTTGTATAATACATTTGTCTCTACTTTGTATACTTACTAGCCGTCCCGCCCGGTGTTGCTCGTGCCAATTTTGTTTCATTGGAACATGTAACATCACAATGTGAGTTGCATACCTGTTGCAAAAAATATTCTTATAATTATTAATGACTGTTTATATGGCATTCAGAAAACATTGATATAATGTTTCATTTTAATATTTAAACGATATCATAGAAAAACATTCATGCAATGTATTCAATGAAACATCAAAAATCACAACAATATGTTGTTTACGTGTCATCTTGTAACATGAAAAATTATAAAATAATAAAAATGCAAATAACAGGAATTTTGTTTCTGCCGCTGCCGGGCAGTTAACCTAACTTATCCTAACGCCCTGACCACTAGACTACTTATATAATTGTTGAGAGAGACTATTTTTAAGACTATATAGGTTATATATACAGAATGATTTTTTTTTATCATAAATTAACAATTATCTCAGAGGATTTTAAGTGAATTTAATTTCTTTTTTTTTATTCACTTTTAATTTTCTACCCATATTCCGTGGTACAATAGTATTTATCATTACTATATAATTATATTTATAAAATAACTAAGAGTAGGTAGGTAGTTTAATTTCTAGTGAACTAAAACCGAAACTGAACCTTGTTTTATGTCAATTAATACAAATCACGCAAATTAAAATTAAACAACGAATAAATATACGGTGTACCGATGCCGATATTTTATATTGTCGTTTTTGTTTTTAGCGAACTGACGAACGACTAACGTCGTATAGTATTGAGTTGCTTTTAGCTTCGATTCAATATATAGGACAGCGTAATATAATATATTATGTGTGGATAACAAATAATATCTACGCATATTACAAAATCGTACACTCTATAGATTCTACCATTGATTATAATACATTGATTATTTGTATTGAGTATTTATAAATCAATAATTCTATCGTTTATTCGTTAGCGATGGTTTATCGTTACTTACAGATATATATTGAATTCCCTTCTGTAACCTACCTTGTTAACTTCCCATCCACAACAGTGACTGCATCTGTCCCTATTTTTCCACGACAGCTTTTTTTTCTTGATATCTTTAAACATCTCCCTCCTCGACAAAGTCCTGTCTATACAGCTTATAGGTACTGATCCACTCGTTTACAAACGTCGGAAACAGATAAACGACGTAATCGTATAAATGTTTAGTAAAAATGGTATGATAATGATAACACTATTTCGATATTAACCTTTGAAAATATACAGACAAAATAAGTGTTTATGACATTTGCATAATATTCTAATGTGTGCAATAGCGCGTACAACAAAATATACAAACAGGTAATTATAATATAAAAATACATGATGTTTATTTTTTGTCACGAACAAGTGATTAACTATATACAATGATTTCGGATTTTTTTTGTTATTGCCATTTTATTATCATTTAATAATATGATATCTTATTTACAATATTATCAATACTTGATCCTTATTTCGTATTACAGTGTATACCATATATTAAATATATTAAATCATATCAAAATTATTTTTAGATATAATTTTAGTGATTTTCATTTCAAATCGGAGTTTAGGGTTTCTTTTGAAAAATCTAAAATGTATTGTTTTTTATATGGGTATAGGTTTATATTAGTGTTTATTATAAAGGGTGGTCCTCATTTTACAATATTGAAACTTATTCGATCGACCAATCTAAATTAGTTCGGTTATACGGAACATAAGGGTAAATTTGTATTATACATATAAAATTAAATTTTAAACGATACAGGTTTTCTATAACTATTTGGAAATTTCCAAAAATCTGCAAATTAATTAGACATCTTCGTAAATGACCACAAATTCACAACTTGTCCGCAAATAAAATAATCACCCTGTATATACCACGGTAGTACACAGGTAGTATTATATTATTAAATCGTCGTTGTTTTATTTGAATTGTTAAGCAAACATACCAAAGTTAAGCGCTGTTTTCTTTAATGTAAATTTCTGTTTATCGAGCCGTCGTCTTCGGCGCGGTGCATACAAATCGTACGATAAAACAACAGCAATAAAAGAACGAGGCAGGATGCCAAAACCGTAAAATATCGCCGCCACTGCAATACCGCCTAGAGTAACCCAATTATTTACTTACTGGATTTCGCCGAGGAGTTTTTATAAATAATATATTTGACTGAAAAGAGAATAAAGTTTTCTAAAAATGTTGACTATGCACACATACATTCGGCATCTAGGACCATTTGGTTTTACAAACATCGTCCAGTTTGGCCCACCTCCTAGAGTTTCCAGACGCAATTTAATCACATATTCCCACCTCAAACCTATAAACAAATATAACATATGAAAATGAAAATCGAATTTATTAAAAATTGTTGTGCTTAAATCTCTGAATCTTGATCTTGAGCTTGATCCTGCGTGATGGTCAGTGTGAGTTCGATTACATTAGCATAGTAGAGATTCAGGACCAGTGGTTTACAACTGGCTTGGTGGATTTTTCATACTACCTACAAATTACAAGATAATGTTAATGGTTTTATTTTTATTTCAGACCGGTGATTATCTACATCTACTCCTCATTTCATACATTTTATTTGTTGTTTAAAATTCAGTAAATGCACCTCCACGTAATACAAAATTATGTATGAAATATGTACGAAAAAGATGTTTTTTATTAATATTTAAAAATTTGAATACGAAAACATGCATTATAATTTGTAATAATACATTTGAACGAACTCAAGGTGGTAACAGAACACGCTATATTAAAGATAATGTAAATTGTGAAATACGTGAATATCATAAAGAGACAGGTTCATATTTTATAATACCTACTGACTTTAAAGGAAAACTTTGTGCATTCATACGTTCTACAGCAAGGATTCAATAATTATACACCTAGGATAATAATAATTATATTCTGTATACCGTTGAAGATGTAATACTCGCTTGCGCTATATTCGTATTACGAACTGTGTTGTTAGTTTTCTTATTAGAGTGAATTAATTTATTGGCTGATATCATTTTTATTGACATGAACATTCATTGCGCAACTGTGTTTTCAATATTTACATTTTGAAGTGATATTTTATGCGTTTAAAACTGTAATATTACACATAGTCATATTTCGCTTAAAAAGAAATGATAATTAATAATAATTAAACAGATAATGTTCTTAATTCATTCAAGTTTTAAAATGAGTTAACTTACTCTAATATTAAAACGAACAGTACCTACAAACTGCATTGTATTCTGATTTTTAATAACAGCACAAAAAAGTTGCTAAAAAAAAAAAAGTCAAAAATCGACCTTTTTTAAAGACATATTATAAAATTTGAGATGTAAATATTAAAAAAACATAGTAAAATATGGTCTTAAGAACATTTTTCTCATTTTCAATTCTCTTTTTAACAAAAAAATTATCATTAAAATCGGACCACTCTACATAAAACATGAGAGTTTCTTCCGTAAGACATATTTTTGAGTCTAAAAAACGCAATGACATCGGGCACCTTAAAAATTCAAAATCCCAGTTATGCTTAGGCACATATATATTTACATAAATAGGTTTTTTTTTATCGTGCCACTTTTAAATAAACGGTTTGTTGTGCATGCACATTTTTATTTTTCATTTCCACATACATTTCAGTATTATCCACAAACTGTCTATTCGTTTACATGAACAACACGGTTGTAATTATAATTATTAGGTACGTATCAGTATACGTCCGTTCCCTATACTAATTAAAACTATTACGATTTGTTTGTATTAATAAACATAAAAAAAAAAAATCACTGTGGATAGTCAAATTAATTATTTCAAATTAAGTACGATATTTTAAAAGTTTATTATTTTATGTTATTATTATATGTAATATTATTTCAAGTAGGTCGTTAAAATAATTTGCATTCAAAGTTGTCGTATTTTGAAAAATGTGCTTTTTTTAACCATACAAAAGTTTATGAAAACTATGCATTTCGTATATACGAAACAAAATATAAATCAAATTGAAATTGAATTGAAATATTATAATATAAGAGGGAAAAAAATGTACGCATATTTAAAATGTTGTATCGAATTTTAGCAACCGATTTTGAGAGCAGGGAATGTATTGGTTTAACTACATATATAGCGCGTGTTTTCGTTACTGTAAACAGATTTTTTACCAGAACCCTCTTGTAGTATTGGGTAGGTATTAGTTTTAGTTTGTAAAAAATCCGAATTGCTAGTATAGTATTTTTACTTATAGAAAATGTTGTCTAATTGACGTATTGATGGGTCGTTTTTTTATTTCCCTTATAGTTTACTTAACAATGTGGAAAAATCAGAAAAGTTCACGGAAATAACGGCACCCACCGTGCAAAGGACGGTTTCTATATAACGTTTAAGTAACATTACTAATATTGAAATATCATTATGGAACTTACCTAGAAATTCCAAATGCATTCCTGATACGCAATATGTCAAAGTCCATGCTGTATTAAATATTTTACATTACTAAACAGCTAATTAGGCATGTAAAAAGTATGGAACCCCTGCATGTCGATTTTTCCTGCCTATTTCCTACTTATGACCTACCCACTTGGAATTATGATCGACCCCGTCACCACCTATCAGATTTGATATATGACTGAATCTTTGATTAATAAACACTTCCTTCTTTTATATTATTTTTAAAAGTAAAACTTCTTCTTTGAAGATATAGCCGTAGAATTCGAATTTAGGTCTTAAGTATCACGAAATTATACCAACCCGTAGAGTTCGTTTACCCTATGCAAACCCTAACACAAATCCCCCCTCTCACAGCGCCGATTAAATCATAGCTCGTCTATAAGTATTATTATCATTGTCAAAAATTACAATTTTATTTTTAGAAATCAAATAAAAATATACATATATTTATGTGTGGCGTATTGGGTTGCGTATGTGCACTTCGATCTGTGCGTGATGTCCAGAAAATTGTCGGTATTTTTAATTGTCACAAACCAAAAGTAAAATAGCGCGGTGCGTCTTATGTCAGTTGGTTTTTAAATATTTAAATTTTGTCCATTTTTACCATTACCATGTTCATATTTACCGGTTTTTACTATGAATGGAAAATATTTAGAGACTATTTAATTATTTTCCTACAATATGGCATATAAATTATTTACAAAGCATCAATTGAATTCCGCTCAGAATCGTTTTATCGTTTTTTAAACTTTAAATGATATATTATAGAATATTAAGTATGGTAATTTATAAGAATTAATAAGGAGGTACGGTTATATACACGTATCACGTGTCTCGACACGCTTGAGTGCTAAACGAATCCCGACTTAATTGAATTGTGTTTTACTGAAACATTCCCGTAATATTATATAAGAAAACATTACACCGTTATGTTTTATATTAATATTTATGGAATTATTTGAGAATGTTTCACTGATACGTCTTCGTTGGAACTTAATATTTACGCTGCTCTTATTTCTCTACAGCATTCTTTATAGCATTCTGAAAACCGATCGTGGAACATTACAATGTTATATTAACATCGGTAGGTATTAAAATGTATCTCATATAAATTGTACTTTTAAACAAGAGATACGCGTGTAAATATGAAAAAAAATTAATTTTATGTGTATTCCTAAAACGTATGGAACGGATTTTTATACAGTAACGGTGGCAATAATTTCGATTTTATTTTAGATTCCGAGCCTACGCTCGGGAGCTATTGGTTTTACAATGCTGTTTATTTGTTCTTTATTCTAGTCTCTGAAAACGTTTTTCCTAGAAAACTTGCTCCCATTTTCGCGTGTGGCACTTTTTCTAAAAGATCAGGTTGTCTAGATTGCACTTTAAACTAGGTAATTTTTTGATTTTTGACGCCGTTTTTTAAATAAAAGCACTTGAGTGAGAAAAAACGTGGGAAAACGTACAATTTCACGATTTCATTATTTTATAAAAACACGGACGACGTTTTCTACCAGAAAAAATGATTTAATACAATAATCACAAGACACATTTTATGTTGCCTTTTTTATTTAATTTCTTACGGTATCGATACCAAAACTTGTGAAACCAATTTTGAAACTTTTAGGAATTTTAATTT